CAACAGCCTTGCGTAGGTTTACCAAAAGACAAAGACAAAGATCCCCCCTATAGCCTTAACAGACTGTAGGGGCAAGTGCTGTTAGCGAGCACCTATACACGAATGAGGGGGTGGGTGGCCAGCACCACGCCCGACCGCCTTTGTTTCCCCAGTGGCGATGTTTACACACCGAACCAGGTACTCATTTAATGCTGAGTCGACCTAGGGGAGGCCCAGGACCGGTTCAGATAATTGTCACTGATGTTAGCCGTGAGCGGGAACCGAACCCGGGTCGCCAGGTTCATAGTGCAGCGCGCTAACCGCTAGCATTGCACGTACAAAAGCGCTCAGCCTTATCCAGACCACCAACTCAACAGAGCTGAATGCGAGGCCATTTTATCATTGAGACCACCAGCTCAGAGAGCGGAGAAATCGGTAGGATTTCTCGTCATTTACAGATTTGAATTCTTTATTTTCGTTCGGCGTGTGCTAAGGGCGTCCCTACAACGTACAGTTGTGAGGCTTCTCCGTAAATGGGGCTCTCAGAGACACTTGGCAGCACAGAGCAATGATGACTGTACCGCCCTGATGAGTCCCTATGAGGATGAAACCATCCTCCTGCTGCGTCGGCCTCACTGCTGTTCGATGGGTTGGCAACGTACAACAGGCGCTTGGCCTGGAATGTTGCGTTCATTGACACTGGGAATGTTGGCAAGGTCGATCGATGATTTTATAAAGCGTGGTTTACTTTTCTTGAGCAAATGATCGACTCCAGTGTGTTGCTCATGAAGTGAAACACATCCATCCTCATCATTAGACCTCCTTTGCCAGTACCAAAATATAATAATAGGGTTTTCCCCTTTTTTTGGAACACATCCGTAACCCGGCGCTTTGGAGACGGGCTCTTTAGAACTCCCAACTGGTCGTGGCTGCGAGGCTGCCAGGTTGTAGCAGCACAGAAAGTGGGTTCCCGAATTGTCTACGCGGCTGTTTGAGCAGTAACGGTCCCCCCGCGTGCCTGGGGGGGAGGGGGGGGTTTCGAACGAACTGCTGAGAACCGCGGTTCACCGTTTTGGTTCCGGGCACCAATGGAGATGAAACGGCGCTCGGTTTGCAGTGGTCACCGGTGATCGGACCAAAGAAAATCGACAAAGGCCGGGTTCCATATCACAAGCCCCCCATCCACCTGATTTGACCCCAACCGAGCCGTCTCCTACAAGACCCCGGACGCCGTTTGGAAAGTTCTCCGAGTGCGGCCATTTCCGCCTCATTTGCTTGTCGCTTTGTAGCCTGCGGTACGATGGCAACATTTTGCAATCACGGCAGTTATTTTAATAAAGGCGTCGGCAGTAACGTTCGAATTCTGCTGCGCAAGCGACTTTTCCATCTGCTATTTTGTTTCATTCTGTCGGCTGTCATCGGTCTACCCAAGTCCCCCTCCGTGATGGGTTCTCCACCTGGCAACAGACAGTCCGTCCATCGATTGTGCAACCTAAAAGGCATAGAATGCAGACACTCGCTGGGCGGTAGGATGGTGTTGGTGGCGGCCGTGAAAATGCTCCTACTCCACAGCAAGAAGAGCCTGGGTTCAATTCCTGACTGTGGCGGCTGTCTGTGTGGAGGTTACACGTTCTCTCTACCCCTGGTCTGCGTGGGTCTCTCCTCTAGGCGCTCCAGTGTTCTCCTCCCATCTCAACTAAAGCCACGCAATGTCATTAGTGCTGGCCTAACATCCCAATGCCTGGAAATTACTCATATTGAGATATACGCAGCAGCAGCAGCAGCAGCAGCAGCAGCAGCAGCAGCAGCAGCAGCAGCAGCAGCAGCAGCAGCAGCAGTAGCAGGAGCATGAACCCCTTACTGCGAAAAACTTGTCAGGACCCTCCAGAAAATGAGCCTTGAGACTCAGCGAGGCCTTTCCTGGGTAAACGGGCGGAATCATGAAACGGAACTAAAAATCGTGCGACTGACAAATGGTGAAGCGCCAATCTGTCGTCTCTGAGTCGCGGTGGTTCACTCACCGGGACCACCACCAGAGGCGGCACAACGTTACCGCTTCCAATCCCTCTGTGGCCGAAAACACAGAATCAAGCAAAGACAGCCGGAGACGAGCGAGCTATCAAACGCTTCACTCTCATTGGTTGCACAAACGCGTCGGCGCGCCGAGAGCTTTGCTACCGCAGGTGGTCACCGCGCTCTGTTTGGGCCCATGGACTCACAAACGCTGTTCGTCCATTGACCCACGCAGCCGACTTCACTCCAGAAGCGCGGGGGGGAGACGGGTGTGGTTCAATCTTCCGAGGCTGTTCCCCGAAAGGACTGGAAGCTCCGCTCGCCGAGGGGCATCCCAGGAGGAGGGCGGCGTTTCTTCGCCGCCTCCCCCCCCCTGACACGGCTGCAATTACGACGCAAACGCGAAATACCCGCGGCAGGCTCAGCACGGCCGCTAGTTGCTTCGTCCACCGAAAATTGCCGCCAAACCGTCACGACGATGTTAACCGCCGCGCGGCAATTAACGCCGAGATATTTTAGGCTCCTCCGAGTTCCGCCGGCGAGGAGGCTCCATGCCCCCGGACACGAGGAGCGCGATCGACGGGGTCGTGCAAAGAAGTCGGGGCAGTGGCGCTCCCCACACGAGCCGGCGGCTCCCTGCAGGGCCAGCGGAGCCAGAGTCTCCCAGAGACACCGAAAATGGGTTTCTGGGAGTCTCTGCGGGGAGTCTGGACGGGTGTCGCTGCGACCGCCCTCTCCTCCCTCCCCCCTCGTGGTCATTATCACCATCACTGCTCTTGTCAGTCTCAGCGGTCGCATTTGCCGAAACATCAATCTGGGAGTGCACTTGGCGGGCGGACTTCACGCGCCAATACCGACTGCCGCAGTTGTTTATCGCGGTTTGTTGTCACCGCTGCTCTTCGTAAATCGTAACCCCCTTCTGAAAGGCACCGAACCGAGGGCCGGGGCCCAGGGACCTCAGGCGTGACGGCTCCGAGTCGCCTCTCGCGATGTTTTCGCAACGATCATCACATGGGAGCCGAGCCGAGTCGACACTGCTCCAACACCGACCCCGGTACGGCTACATTCTCACCCTGACACCCTTCCCCCCCCTCCCTCCCTTCCCCTCCCCTCTCCCTCCCCCCCTCCCTCCCCCTGCTCCTCTCCCTCCCTCCTCCTCCCCCCCTCCCTCCCCCTCCCCCCCCTGCTCCTCTCCATCCCCCCCTCCCTCCCTCCCCCTCCCCCCCTCCCTCCCCCTCCCCCCCTCCCTCCCCCTCCCTCCTTCCTCCCCCTCCTCCCTTCCCTTCCCACCCCCTGTTCTTCCCCCTCCTCCCTTCCCTCCCGCTCCACGGCCCCTGCTACTAAACGCAGAGAAATTATTTTCCCTGCGAACGTCAAGAGCGTCGTTTGTTTGTAGGAAACGGGAACAAGGATTACTACATTCGACACTCGAAGCGCAAATGCCCAGGTCACTGGCCACCTTCGGGATGATCAAGTTCGCTTACCAACAAAGCCGCGCATTTCACAATGCACACGTCACCTATACATCTACGATAAACATTTGCATAAACAAGTAGAGAATTGTAGACCGGTTTAGACCTCATTATGACTCATCGCACGAGGTCTTTCTGCCCTCTAAATAATTGCGGTTCTAGCGCCGAGGCAGCGCTTGCTCGAGTGGATGGTGGTGGCGGCCTGCACGTTGCCCACTCTGCCTCGGTGAGGAATCGCGACCAACGCCACCGCCAACCCGCCGACCGGACATCGATGAACGGCCTCCCGAGCCAAGACTCAAGCGCTTGCTCCACTGCGGGCCCCGAGCCGGCAGTGGAAATTCCACATTACACGGCGGGGGCTGGTCTCCTCCGTAGGACGACCAACGTTCACTCTGCACAGAGCGCTGCGAATTCGCGTCGACTCTGGAGGGGCGAAGAGTCCGAGTGGATCTGTGACCGGCATTTAAACTGCAGCGGTCAAATGGCGAGTCGATCTGTCCGCTCACGGCAGCGGTCCAGCGCACGACGCGACGGGACCCGAGCTTGCCGCCTGATTCACTCCCTCCGGCCAGCCCCGGGTTACTCGGCCAGGAGACGAAATAAAATCGCCGAGACGCACCCAGCAACAGATAAACTCGCCGACTCGAACTCAACCCAACTCACACGGCTGGGAATCGCCCAGCGACACGCGTGTATCCCATCACCACGGCCGACGGCCCGACAGATACACTGCTGGAGAGCGAGAATGAGCGAGCGAGAGAAAGAATGAGCGAGCGAGAGAGCTAGTGAGCGAGAGGTGGGGGTTTACATAAAGCAAAGTTTAATAAAAAAAATTACGAAATGATGAACGAAGAAAAGTGCCGACTACACCGATCATCTTCTTGTTTCCACTGATCGTAAAAAAAAGAGAGTAGAAAACAGGGAGAACATATACATAGAGTATGGAGAGAGGTGGTAGAGAGAGGGAGGGGAGGGGGTAGAGAGGGAGGGAAGGGGTAAGAAGGAGGAGAGAAGAGCGTGACATCTTTTGTGAAATATTTCATTTAAAATGGGGGGGGGGGGGGCACATAAAGCAAGGCATTGAAAAAAAAACGAAATGATGAGCGAAGCAAAGTGCCGACTACACCGAGCATCTTCTTGTTTCCTCTGATCGTAAAAAAAAGAGAGAGTGAGCGAGAGGTGGGGGTTTACATAAAGCAAAGTTATAAAAAAAAACGAAATGATGAACGAAGCAAAGTACCGACTACACCGAGCATCTTATTGTTTCCTCTGATCGTAAGAGAGAGGGGCTAGAGAGAGGGGGGGGGGGGTAGAGAGAGGGAAGGGGTAAGAAGGAGAGCAGAGCGTGAAGTCTTTTGTGAAATATTTCATTTAAAATGGATGGGGTGGGGGGCACATAAAGCAAAGCTTTGAAAAAAAACCGAAATGATGAGCGAAGTAAAGTGCCGACTACACCGAGCATCTTCTTGTTTCCACTGATCGTAAAAAAAAGAGAGCGAGCGAGAGAGAGAGACAGAGCGACACGCAACGTACCGTTTGAGCAGCATTCCGGCCAGAACGCTGCCCAGCAGCGTGCAGAGGGCCTGCGAGAAGAACACCCAAGTAATGGCCTCCAGGGAGCTGTGGGTCTGGCATCGCAGGTCCAGCAGCGTGGGCCCCAGGAAGGAGGCGCACAGGCCGAAGGTGAAGAAGACGCTGCAGTAGGTGAGCGTGGCCTGCAGGTTCCTCGTGAAGAGCACCCATGGCTCGGGATCTCTGGCCATGTCTGCTGGGTGGTGACGGAGCCTCTGGGGCACCGGGGAGGAGGAAGCAGGTGGTGGAGACACTGGGGAGTTAGTCTGGAGGGCGATCAGACTTCATGTATTCAGTGGCCAGGATTGGGCAAAACTCTCGCCCACGTTTCGCCCAGGAAACGGGAGAGTAGCACAGACGGAGTGTTACCCGCCCCGACGTCTGTAAAAATATAAAAGAGTATAAATTTCGATTTAAAGCTTTCGTGACTTCAGGGATTCATCTTCTTGTTTTTTTCGGTAAAGTCACGTAGAATGGAAATAATACAATAATAAAAATAAAACATAATAATAATATAATAAAATAATATAATATATGACAATGTTTATTTTTTATTCTTTTATTATTTCCATTCTACGTGACTTTACCGAAAGAACCAAGAAAAAAATAAAATAGCTTTATAGCTCTACGGATTCCTCCAGGATAAACACAGACTCGGACACTAACCTCACCTTCACAACAATTGCGTATTTAAGAGTCACACTTAAGAGGCAAACAACGCGCTGTGTACCGTCGCAAATGATTCAAACGACAAAACATTTAAAACTCAACATCTCACGAACGCAGCAGAAATGTAGGAAGAGGAGTAACACGAGGTGGAAATGACGATGCCGATGCCCGATAATGGGCGAGAACAGCTGCGATATTGAAAGCGAGATCCTGCTGCTGATGCTGCTGCTACCCTATGAGCCGGTACACGTGTAGAGTTACCGCGGGGTGGTTCGCGATCCTTCTTAGTGGAGTGAACACATCGCGGATTAGAGGGAGCGTCCAGGGAGCCTGCCGCTGCCAATGAGAGTCGTGGGCCAGCGGAGTTCTTAGACCCACGTGGCGCGCGGCTCCGTGTGACCGCAGTACACCAAAGGCCGTAGCCGTGGAGTCAACATTGGGGGGGAGCAAATCTTCCAGGGGGTCTGGGGGTCCCCCCGCCCAAAAAAAAATCTAAATTTGAAAACGTATTTCCTGCCTAAAATATTTTACAAAATTCACTAACACATAGGATGGACTTTTTATTTATTTTACAATAATGTCTAATAGTGTATTGTATTACATTGCTCTGTTTTTTCTTTTTTACCTTTTCTTGTTTCATTGTATGTAATGGCAGAGATGAGGGATTAATAAAGCACAACCATAACCACGAAACAACCACGAGTACTACTGCAGTACTAACAGACAGTACTACTGCAGTACTAACAGACAGTACCACCACAGAACTGCATAGACCATCAGCATCACCCAAGGTCTATACAGCCGAGCACAACTTCAATGCGTACACGACTGCATCAACACACAGTGCTTCAAAGGCCACCAGACTACACCAACTAGAGGACTAACATCAACTGCAGGAGGAATACTACTACATATAGAGTACTGCAGCATAAACTAGCGATCAAGTGGCTGGGACCAGCACCATTGGGACTGAGAGCAGCAACTCGTGGTAGACAGAGGGTCGTGATCTCCAACTCGCTCACCACTCGTGGTAGACAGAGGGACGAGATCCCCAACTCGCTCACCACTCGTGGTAGGCAGAGGGACGAGATCCCCAACTCGCTCACCACTCGTGGTAGACAGAGGGACGAGATCCCCAACTCGCTCACCACTCGTGGTAGGCAGAGGGACGAGATCCCCAACTCGCTCACCACTCGTGGTAGACAGAGGGACGAGATCCCCAACTCGCTCACCACTCGTGGTAGGCAGAGGGACGAGATCCCCAACTCGCTCACCACTCGTGGTAGACAGAGGGACGAGATCCCCAACTCGCTCACCACTCGTGGTAGGCAGTGGGACGAGATCCCCAACTCGCTCACCACTCGTGGTAGGCAGAGGGACGAGTTCCTCAACTCGCTCACCACTCGTGGTAGACAGAGGGACGAGTTCCCCAACTCGCTCACCACTCGTGGTAGACAGAGGGACGAGATCCCCAACTCGCTCACCACTCGTGGTAGGCAGAGGGACGAGTTCCCCAACTCGCTCACCACTCGTGGTAGACAGAGGGACGAGTTCCCCAACTCGCTCACCACTCGTGGTAGACAGAGGGACGAGTTCCCCAACTCGCTCACCACTCGTGGTAGACAGAGGGACGAGTTCCCCAACTCGCTCACCACTCGAGGTAGGCAGAGGGACGAGATCCCCAACTCGCTCACCACTCGAGGTAGACAGAGGGACGAGATCCCCAACTCGCTCACCACTCGAGGTAGACAGAGGGACGAGTTCCCCAACTCGCTCACCACTCGTGGTAGACAGAGGGACGAGATCCCCAACTCGCTCACCACTCGAGGTAGACAGAGGGACGAGTTCCCCAACTCGCTCACCACTCGTGGTAGACAGAGGGACGAGTTCCCCAACTCGCTCACCACTCGTGGTAGACAGAGGCACGAGATCCCCAACTCGCTCACCACTCGAGGTAGGCAGAGGGACGAGATCCCCAACTCGCTCACCACTCGTGGTAGGCAGAGGGACGAGATCCCCAACTCGCTCACCACTCGAGGTAGGCAGAGGGACGAGATCCCCAACTCGATCACCACTCGTGGTAGGCAGAGGCACGAGATCCCCAACTCGCTCACCACTCGAGGTAGACAGAGGGACGAGATCCCCAACTCGCTCACCACTCGTGGTAGACAGAGGCAAGAGATCCCCAACTCGCTCACCACTCGAGGTAGGCAGAGGGACGAGATCCCCAACTCGCTCACCACTCGTGGTAGACAGAGGGACGAGATCCCCAACTCGCTCACCACTCGTGGTAGGCAGAGGGACGAGTTCCCCAACTCGCTCACCACTCGTGGTAGACAGAGGGACGAGACCCCAACTCGCTCACCACTCGTGGTAGACAGAGGGACGAGATCCCCAACTCGCTCACCACTCGAGGTAGGCAGAGGGACGAGATCCCCAACTCGCTCACCACTCGTGGTAGACAGAGGCACGAGACCCCAACTCGCTCACCACTCGTGGTAGGCAGAGGGACGAGATCCCCAACTCGCTCACCACTCGTGGTAGACAGAGGGACGAGACCCCAACTCGCTCACCACTCGTGGTAGACAGAGGGACGAGTTCCCCAACTCGCTCACCACTCGTGGTAGGCAGAGGGACGAGATCCCCAACTCGCTCACCACTCGTGGTAGACAGAGGGACGAGACCCCAACTCGCTCACCACTCGTGGTAGGCAGAGGGACGAGATCCCCAACTCGCTCACCACTCGTGGTAGACAGAGGGACGAGACCCCAACTCGCTCACCACTCGTGGTAGACAGAGGGACGAGTTCCCCAACTCGCTCACCACTCGTGGTAGGCAGAGGGACGAGATCCCCAACTCGCTCACCACTCGTGGTAGGCAGAGGGACGAGATCCCCAATTCGCTCACCACTCGTGGTAGACAGAGGGACGAGTTCCCCAACTCGCTCACCACTCGTGGTAGACAGAGGGACGAGTTCCCCAACTCGCTCACCACTCGTGGTAGACAGAGGGACGAGTTCCCCAACTCGCTCACCACTCGTGGTAGACAGAGGGACGAGATCCCCAACTCGCTCACCACTCGTGGTAGGCAGAGGCACGAGATCCCCAACTCGCTCACCACTCGAGGTAGACAGAGGGACGAGATCCCCAACTCGCTCACCACTCGTGGTAGACAGAGGCAAGAGATCCCCAACTCGCTCACCACTCGAGGTAGGCAGAGGGACGAGATCCCCAACTCGCTCACCACTCGTGGTAGACAGAGGGACGAGATCCCCAACTCGCTCACCACTCGTGGTAGGCAGAGGGACGAGATCCCCAACTCGCTCACCACTCGAGGTAGACAGAGGGACGAGATCCCCAACTCGCTCACCACTCGTGGTAGACAGAGGCAAGAGATCCCCAACTCGCTCACCACTCGAGGTAGGCAGAGGGACGAGATCCCCAACTCGCTCACCACTCGTGGTAGACAGAGGGACGAGATCCCCAACTCGCTCACCACTCGTGGTAGGCAGAGGGACGAGTTCCCCAACTCGCTCACCACTCGTGGTAGACAGAGGGACGAGACCCCAACTCGCTCACCACTCGTGGTAGGCAGAGGGACGAGATCCCCAACTCGCTCACCACTCGTGGTAGACAGAGCCACGAGACCCCAACTCGCTCACCACTCGTGGTAGACAGAGGGACGAGACCCCAACTCGCTCACCACTCGTGGTAGGCAGAGGGACGAGATCCCCAACTCGCTCACCACTCGTGGTAGGCAGAGGGACGAGATCCCCAACTCGCTCACCACTCGTGGTAGGCAGAGGGACGAGATCCCCAACTCGCTCACCACTCGTGGTAGACAGAGGGACGAGACCCCAACTCGCTCACCACTCGTGGTAGGCAGAGGGACGAGATCCCCAACTCGCTCACCACTCGTGGTAGACAGAGGGACGAGACCCCAACTCGCTCACCACTCGTGGTAGACAGAGGGACGAGTTCCCCAACTCGCTCACCACTCGTGGTAGGCAGAGGGACGAGATCCCCAACTCGCTCACCACTCGTGGTAGGCAGAGGGACGAGATCCCCAATTCGCTCACCACTCGTGGTAGACAGAGGGACGAGTTCCCCAACTCGCTCACCACTCGTGGTAGACAGAGGGACGACTTCCCCAACTCGCTCACCACTCGTGGTAGACAGAGGGACGAGTTCCCCAACTCGCTCACCACTCGTGGTAGACAGAGGGACGAGATCCCCAACTCGCTCACCACTCGAGGTAGACAGAGGGACGAGTTCCCCAACTCGCTCACCACTCGTGGTAGACAGAGGGACGAGTTCCCCAACTCGCTCACCACTCGTGGTAGACAGAGGGACGAGTTCCCCAACTCGCTCACCACTCGTGGTAGGCAGAGGGACGAGATCCCCAACTCGCTCACCACTCGTGGTTTGCAGAGGGACGAGATCCCCAACTCGCTCACCACTCGTGGTAGGCAGAAGAACGAGATCCCCAACTCGCTCACCACTCGTGGTAGGCAGAGGGACGAGATCCCCAACTCGCTCACCACTCGAGGTAGACAGAGGGACGAGATCCCCAACTCGCTCACCACTCGTGGTAGACAGATGCACGAGATCCCCAACTCGCTCACCACTCGTGGTAGACAGAGGGACGAGATCCCCAACTCGCTCACCACTCGTGGTAGGCAGAGGGACGAGTTCCCCAACTCGCTCACCACTCGAGGTAGACAGAGGGACGAGATCCCCAACTCGCTCACCACTCGAGGTAGGCAGATGGACGAGAACCCAACTCAGCAGCAACTCGCTAGAGACCCAGGCGAGGCCACCACGTCTCCTTCACCCGGCACCACGAGTAAGTAGGAGCAGCAGGAGTAGGTGAATGAGCAGCAGCAGGAGTAGAAGCAGCAGTAGTATGAGTAGAAGCAGCAGGAGTAGAAGCAGCAGCAGCAGGAGTAGAATCAGCAGCAGCAGCAGGAGTAGGAGAAGTAGAAGGTGGAGTAGAATCAGCAGCAGCAGAGGGAGTAGGAGCAGCAGCAGCAGTACGAGTACCTGTGCCAGTGAGCGACTTGCGGTAGCAGCGGCGAGGAGGGGTGCGAGGGGGAGCCCCGCAGCCCGGAGAGGAGGAGGAGGAGTGAGCTGGCACCACCACACGGAGCCCTGTTCGCTCTAAGCGCCCACAGCCTGCGGGCTGCTGCTGCTGCTGCTGCCCATGGCCGTGCCCGCTGCGGCTGCTCTGCTCTGCTGCGTGGCTACTGCTGCTACTGCCTCCTCTTCCTCCACTCGCTCGGGACAGGGTGACGAGGAAGCAGAGGGAGGGAGGGGGGGGGGAGCTGGGCGGGGGAGCGGAGAGCTCCACCTCATTGCTTCGAGACGTGTGGACGGCGTCACACATTGCACCTCGCTGCCGAGTGCGTGCCAGCGGGGAGCGGTGGGGGAGTGGTGAGCGCGCTGGTGTGCTCACCACTACGGTATTGGGCCTCCCCAAGGTCGACTCAGCCTTAAATGTGTGGCCGGTGCGATGTGTAAACATCGTCACTGAGGGTGACAAAGGCGGTCGGGCGCGTGCTGGCCACCCACCCCCTCGTGCGCCATGCCGGCCTCCATAGGTGCTCGCTAACAGAACTTGCCCCAACAGTCCGTTCAGGCTACACGGGGGATCTTTGTATTTGCCCAAACCCTCTTCACGTTCTTCGCAGTCAACAAGTCGCTGTCTGCGTCTGTGTTCTCTACCCCACGTCTTCATCCTGGGAGCCACGGCCAGTGGTGCAGTCACAAGATTCGAGCCTCTCAGCGAAACGACCTCTGCGTTCGATTCCCGATTCAGGCGTCTTTGTGCGTGGAAACCCGACTAATTAGCTGTGTCAGGTGGTGGGTGGGTTTAACGACACATTTATATTTACGCGATCTAACCACCCCCAACCCCACCCCCCTCTTGTATGGCTGATATTGGTCGCAAAAGACTTATTCTCCGTGTCCGGTTTCCTGCCCAAAGCTAACACAAAAAAAGACACAAACATACAAGGCAACTGTGGTATTGGCCAAACATCGCAATTCTGGAAAATTCCCTACACATTACCCCGTTGGGATTACACAGCAACAGCAGCAACATCGCCAACGGCCGCGACAAATTGGCAGGACCCTCCTGAAAACAGCGTCGAGAGACTCGGGATTATATCGACGATGTCATCGGAATGTCTGAGATGGTTATTCCAAACATTATACTTGTGGAGTGAAACAAAAATTCACCACTCCTAAATTCCACGAAAAATCTGCGATCTTTCAATTCGGATTTGTCGATGAGTTTAATCCGCGGTGCAAAAAGCTCGCCCCATACGCAGCGGTGCCTGTCTGGTTTCTGTCTATCGATGTTCAGGATAAAAGCCGCGTGGTGCCACAGAAAAGCTGTGGGGACGGCCGCCTTCCCTGCACGACCAGTTTTTAATTTGTATGAATATTCTGATTCTTGGGTCTTTGTTTGCGAGAGCATGGATGACTGCGTCGATTTCCACCGATGAGAAGACATCGTCTCGTCTACAAGGGGCCAGGCATCACGGTATTTCATCAACATCATGATCTTTTGTTCCCAGAATCTGGTTCATAAAACCCAGCTCGCTCATGTGGCCGTGTGGCCTTGGAATTCTCCGCGAATCTATTCCCAATAATCTTCGTGAATTCTATTTGTCCGCGTGCGGGGAGAATTCGGCTTTAGTTCAGCTCGCTATTATCTCCATTTTGTAACAGAAGAATGATGGATGCATCGTTGCACAATCGAGGTGTTTTAATGTCAAATCTAATCATCTCGTGTAACAAGCGCGCTCTCATTGTCCCACCAACTGGTCCCGCTACTTTCACGATGTCCGCAGTGACACCATCTCATCCAGGGTCGTTCCCTTTCTTCCCACTCCGCAGGGCAACGGTCGACTTCTGATTCAAGTGTGACACCTGGAACGGCCTCTTAATCTGATAAATTGTTTAATGCCCGAGATGCATGATGTTACTTATCTGCAAACAATCTGTAAGTAAAACAATGCGTTTTTTGGGACGTGGGGACTTCCGGCCATCGAGGCTGTACCGGCATCGCAGAAGCTTCGTGGATGTGCGAGGCTTACCGCTGCAAACGCGGCAAGCCTCGACTTATCCTCCCTTACCACCAAACGCGTTCACAAGTAGTGAAGGAATCCTGTTGGCTTCAGGCGCACGCGAGACCTGACGCCACGCGCAGGACGCGACAACCCTGCACCTGGGGCTACAGAGTCGGGATACAGGTGGAGGTGTCGCAGCTGCTGCTGCTACTGCTTAAAGCTCGTGATTTGAATAAAGTCGCCGCGGGCTGAAGAACCCATCCGTGCGTGGCATTCGATTTAAAAACATTTTTAGATTTATATATGTAAAATAAAATAAGAATAGGGTTTACCCTTTCTGGCAATAAAACAGATAGTGTTAAGATGTTCAAACACCAAATAAACATTTTTGCAAGGAATCAAGTCTGGATTAACCACACGTACTTGTGGCAACACGTGCAAACATGCTCTCATCATTATCAATGCATTTATTATCATATGCACATATTATAATATCTGCATTGTCTTTTAATTTTATTGGCCTACACCAGACAGACAGCCTTCTTTATGGCCTAGTCTCACAACCAGCGTCAGACCAGAAAACGCCACAAGGTGAACAGCACGAAGACAACGCCACGCGATTCAGAGCACGGATCGCGAGATTGTGCAAGTGCTATCTATGGAACCTGTTTTGCGAGTAATCCAAGTATATAAAAATAACAATGTTGTTTTTGTCTTCACCTCTCGACGAGTCGAGTTGGAGGTGCGTGCACAATTCGCTGGATCTCTCTCGCCGCCTGTGGGTCACCCCGGTGCGTCGGCCCTCGAAGTTTGGACCGAGAGATTTGGCCACAAGCAACCTCAAAATAATTTCGATTTAAAGCTTTCGTGACTGCAGGGATTCATCTTCTTTGTTCTTTCGGTAAAGTCACGTAGAATGGAAATAATAAAATAATGTTATTTGATTTAATTATTTTATTTTATTGTTTTATTTGTTTTATTGTATTATTTCCATTCAACCTCAAAATAAGCCACGAATTCGATCCGAATCAACTAAGAGTATGAATCCTTGCAGTCACGAAAGCTTCAAATCTAGAATTCACACCTAACTGTTTGTGGAACTCCCCGAGGGCGTCCAGGAGGCGCTCACGACCTGTGAATGATCCGTTGCGAGCCTCACCACGAGGCAGGGTTTGTTGGGACTCGGGTCTCACCTGGGCGCACCTCGTCCCAGCGTGCGCGCTCAGCGCAACGCCGCGCGCCGCTCCACCGACTCTCAGTGGCAAAGTGAAACGCACAAAAAACCACCCTGGGTAATCGTCCTTGGCAGGGCATTCAGGATGAAGCGTGCTGTGTGCTAAAACAATTAATGCAGACGAACAGTTGTGTGCAGGCGCAGGCGTTGGGTGCTCTGGGTAATTAAAGCCCGAGGCGTTAATGCCCACCCACGGCGCAAAGCCTCTGCAGAGAAACTCGGCTCACGGTTTTACGCACGGAATGAGTTTCTGATTGCCACGCAATAATTGGACCAATTTTAAAGTACAGATGGCTCCCTGCCACGTGAATGTGGAATCTCCGACGACTGGCTCGGGGTCGACAATGGAGATTGACACCGCCTCACTCTTGGTGTCGGCAGGGAACCCCTTCGCATGGCTTCCGACCCGCCCAATCAAGCGGCGGAGGAGGGACGACGGTCAAAACGAGGCCTCAACCAGGATTTGAGCTCACGGCCTTCCCAGTGGCGTAGCTATCGAGTGTGCAGGCGGTGCAGTTGCGCCCGGGGCTCATCAGCTGGAGGGGGCTTAGGCACCGGGTTACAAAGATAGGGGGGGCATTAAAAGGGGGGCGAATTTAATTCCTTCCACACGAGGGCCCAAGCCGAGCTCGCTCCAGCACGGACCCCCCTTCCTATCACGAGTCGGGCAGCCCGGCCCGCAGCACCCCCGCGGTCCAGGCACTCACGAGTGACACCGCGTGTGCCGCTGCGCGTGCCGTGGCTGAACCACTCGATTCCTCTTGGGTGTGGAGGCATTTGTACAGCGACGATGACAAATCTAAATCTCGGTTGTGCATCCACGAGATGGTTTCTGGGAGATGCCGAGCAATGAACTCTCTACTCCTTCACCGTAAGAGCCGAGGGAGAATCGCAGTGTCCAGTCGCGGCAGTCACCGATGACCACGAGCAGTGACGAAGCCGGCCCCGTGGCTCGCAGCGGGCTGGAGTCACACAGGCAGCAAAGTTTCCAATAACAGACGGGAGGCAGGGACATTGAGACCGCAGCTGGTGTTTAAACAGCAGACGCCGGGCCGAGCGGTGAAACACAAAAGCCACGGTAGCATCTGCGTGCACCACGAGTTGTTGTTGTTGTTGTTATTTTAACCGCACTTGGCACCCGGCCTGGCGCAGATTTTCCAAGCCTGGCGCGTTGAGTGTCAATGTGCCTGCATCGACTCGGCACGGTGGGGTCAGCCAGTCGTCGGCTTTGTCCAGAAGCGCCTCTCGGCTGCCCGGGTGATTGATCACTGCGACGGTGAGGGCTGATGGGCCCCATTGCGCCTTGTAATGCGGTGGGAGCAGTGGCGAGGTTGGTGGACCACACGGAGATGGCGTTAAGACCGTGTGCGTGGCAAGACACGGATAAATAAGGCGGTGCGCATTCAGGAGGCAGAGGAGCAAGTAGGTTTTGTCGCCAGTTGCGTGCAGTCCGAGGTTCTCTCAAGTTCAAGTGCATGTATTGGGTATTGCCCTGTGAGCCATTCGGCTCTTGAATCGGGTGCAACCGCAACAAACAAAAACATGAACAAGAAAACATCTTGAAGTGAATATGTGACTGAGTGCAAACAGAGGAAAGCCACCATCAAATTCGTGGCTTTCCTCTGCACACTCCGATACCACGCTGCCAAACATCCCAAACAAGACCCTCAACGCTTCAGTGGTCCCCATTATTTATACGGCTAACGAGAGTGAATTACTTGATAATTCCATTGATTTTAAATGGTTACCGCGTAATATACTTGCCACAGATAAATTGGAACAGCTGATGCTACGCTACCTCACGTAGTCCCCGACAGGCGAGATATTTGGTGTGGACTCATTTGACTCACAAGGAGATGACCAGGGCCGGATTAAGGCGTGAGGGCTTCAGGAGCTGCAGCCCAGGGACCTCCACCAGCTGGAAGGCCTCCAGAGATGAAGTGAAAAGTGATTTCGTTTGCGAATGCTGAATTCTATGTGTTGTTAACCTTGTAAAAACACATTTTATTTTTCTTTCACTTTGTTTTCCTTTTGAAAATATTGTGGGCCCTCACAGTATCTGTAGCACAGGGGCCTACACAATCTTCATTCATGAATGAAGATTGTGTAGGCCCCTGTGCTACAGATACTTCTTCATTCATGAATGAAGATTGTGTAGGCCCCTGTGCTACAGATACTTCTTCATTCATGAATGAAGATTGTGTAGGCCCCTGTGCTACAGATACTTCTTCATTCATGAATGAAGATTGTGTAGGGGCCTACACAATCTTCATTCATAAGAATGTGCAGCACTGGCTCAGGAGCGCCACATGGACTGGGTTACCGCTCCACTCGCGGCCCAGCAGGAAGACGCTTGGATTTGCTAATCGCAGCAGCTTCGTGTCCTCAGCTTAGTCTGTTCAACAAGTCACAATGGGCATTGACTTCAGGTGCGAGCCTCATCCAGAACCCACCCCGCCGAGTCCGCTTCACCAACCAGCCAAGATCGAACAACTCGAGACCCACATGGCCGCGACTGCGCGCGTCCCAGCGACACCGTCGTCGATTGTCACCACCTGCGCCTCCATCTCCACGCCCCCCCCCCCTGCAGCTCGAGACGAGAGGCCCCCCACTGTCACACCACGTGGGGGGGGGGGGGGGGGTGCTCTGCACGGCGCCTGCCCCGCTGCTCAAACTGCGCGACCCGTGCCACGTTGCTTGGACTTCATTCCGTGTGCGTCGATTACGTCCACAAGCTTTCCCTGTACAACGCCTTGATATGGAAAAAAAGCATTTAAACACTAAATAATTTTACACTTTTATATTTGTGATAAACACGTACACAGCAAATTCTCACCGAGTCCCACAAATTCCCAGCTGCAGGGAGTGCACGATGTCAACCACATTGGCTCAACTCAAGCAAACTGCACACACTGGACCGGCTTCGATGATAATTAACCATTGTTCTCATCGGCAGTCAGACTTGCTTGAACCAAAGCGGAACTACCAGATGTGTAAAAGCACGGACCCTCTTCCCTCTCGGTTAGATGTAGGTCCTAGTTCGCCACAAAACCACGTAAATATACAACACAAAATAATGTTATAAATAGAACAAAATAACCAATAAACGTCTCCTTCATAGTCCGCGTGTCTGCCTCGCAGTGCAATCTGGCCAGTCCTCTTTATTGACGAGGCAGGCGATGTTTTTAACATTTTAGATATTTGACCTTTTCTTAAACGGTATCTTATCCCAAAATATTGGTGCTTGTATTTGAAGGCTTGAAACATGTTTGCGCCGTACGTTGTTTGCAGCCCAAGACTCATTGGGCTTTCACCTGGTCACAGCGCGCACGAGTGTGGAGAGCAAACCACCCAGGCCACACGCCAAACTCTGTTTGTGCAATCGCTGTTCTCTCTGTTAAAGCCGCATTGTCGAGGTTGACACTTGACTCACCCGAGCAAACGAGACTTCCAGGTCCCCGTGGGTCCTCCACCTGGTAGAAGAGATCCCGTCATAACCCACGTGTACGAGGAGATAAACTCGCAGGTGCTAGCGGCAGACAGGTAAGTAGGTAAGTGGGCGAGTAGGATGGCTAGGTAAGTGGTATGTCAGGTAGGAAGTATTAATGGTAGACGGGTAAGTGGGTGGGTGAGTAGAAGGCAGAGGTCGCAAACGGGGTTTGATTCCTTACCCGTACCCGGCCGCACCAGGGTCGCAAACGGGTACCCGTACCCTCCCCGATACCCGGCTACCCGTACCTGGCCGGGTACGGGTATCGGGTACCCGATTGCGACCTCCGGGATGAAGCCATGTTGCAGGCGCGGGTGGGTTGATTCTAGGAACTTGAATTGTGAGAAGAGACAAGACGTTGGGAAATGAGTGATAAACGGTTACTCACCAGTGACTCACGGCGTACCCGTACCCGTACTCGGCCGCACCAGGGTCGCAAACGGGTACCCGTACCCGGCTGGGTACGGGTAGCCGGGTATCGGGTAGGGTACGGGTATCGGGTACCCGACTGCGACCTCTGGTAGAAGGGTGGCGAGATAGTGAAGTAAGTAGCAGACTTGTTACAGACAAAACTCGGGCACAGGAGGGGCAGACGCTCAAGAAGGTCCACGCAGAAGGGTCAGAAGCCCACGTCTCCACTGCTGCCTGCTGGCCACCCTCAGAGGCCGTCAGTTTGTGATGCTCGCAGCCCACGTCGATCTCTGCCTGATCCACCAACCCTTGCTCGCAGGCCGCAGACGAGGGGCGAGCACCGGCGCGCAATGGCCGAGCGGGGCGCGCGCGGTGGCCGAGCGGGGCGCGTGCGCGACCGTCGCAGGAAACACACTCGGGGCCCAGTTGCTTTCCATCCGTTTTTATAAATTACACATGCGACGTGAACATGAGTTTACAAAGGTGAGACACGATAGGACAAGAATGAGAAATAAAACCAGCTTCGCGTTTCGCGTTAACGATGGGGGGGGGGGGGGGGGGGGGCGCGTCTCATCTCTGTGCCCTCGCCACGGTAGCCGCTGCCTCGGGGGGGGGGTCCGCTACTCTAAGGCCACAAGTCGCCCCCCGCCATCGTCACACCAACAACACGTCGACGGGAAGCCAACGCGATGCAAAAAGCAAACGTTCATCCGAGACGTCGCCCCGTCGATGGCATCACGGGGGGGGGGGGGGGGGGGGGGGGGGGGCTCTCAATTGTTCAATGAATGAAACACAACGATGAAGTCGAATTGCTGGAGAATAAAAACTCAGTAGCTGAAGCGGCGTCGCCCCACGCAGCACAGATCCGCGCGTTCACTCGTCACTGGGTTTCCAATCAGAAGAGAAAAACTACGAACAGAAGTCTCATTGCTGCTCATTAACATGTTACATTTATTCGATGCAAAACTAAATAAGGCTGTGCAAATATTTGTCCTGTTCTGCAGTGAGAAATATTTCTTCGTGGAGGTTTAATTATATCATCTGTGTCATTCTGAACGTTTCTCTTGAATAAACTTCGCTACTTTGGGCAGGAAGAACAGAACGAGAATGGGCCAGGGTGCAACGGCCTCCCTGCTTGGGAGGGGACCGGGGTGCGTGCGGACACACGCACCAACTGTGCCCAGCAACTTAAGTCGGGAATAATCGCTCGGTAGGTTGACAAGAAGTTTCTCATTCCATTAATGGGGGTCGTGAACAACTTTTTCAACTTGACAAAAACGGAAAAAACTGGAGCGGGCCTGCTCAGCTGTTGCGTCGACTCGCCCAGCGGAAGACGCTTCGCTCGATGCGTCCTACCTGGCAGGCTCGATCGTCTAATTAGGACAGAGCTCAAAATAACTTCCACTATTCAACCCTGGCACGGGATCACTCGGGGCACGAGCCGTGCCGGTACGGCGCTAACAAGTCAGCCAATCGAGACTGATCGTGGCCGTGTTCAACGGAGACCCGTTTTCTGCACGGAGATTGCCCAACCAAGAAATGCGTTTAATCGAGACTTTACGCCGATCCAGAATGTCCATGGTCTGCTCGAGACTGCATCCAATTGAGACGCTCGGCTGGGCTGGGCGAGTCGTGGCCTGATTTGATCCGTCCCGCGTTTCCGACAACCACGAGGCATCCGTCCGTTGGTGCGTGCGCCGCACCTACAGCCCCGCCTCCCCTGTGCATGTCAACCCAGGCAAGTTCGCCGTGACCCGGCAGAGAAAGCTCTGCGGCTGCGACGTGGGCCTGAGGATGCAAGCCATGAAGGTTTTGAGCGCGTGGGGTGCACGGGCACCGCCCCACTGGTTTTATGTGGGGGGGGCGGTGGGCTCTTGTCGGAGTTAGGGAACGGGGCGTCCCCGCTGGCCTGGCCGAGGGAGGCGTCACGCCCGGGGGGCTTTCGCGCACGACGTGGCCAGGAGGCGCCAGCCTGTACGACCTGTGAGCATCCCACAGCGCGACACGCATCGTAGGTTACCCAGCGGGATATTGCCGACGGGCCGAGTTGCATCCCGCAATGGGGAGTTTGACTCGTAATCTGTTTGAAAGCGGTGCGCTCTGTAACCCCATCCAGAATAAACATTTTATTCAAATTCTCTCTGGACCAGCTCTGCAAGGGAGACCCTCAGGCGAGTTCCGCACGGCTGCACAATCACTTCCCGGGAGGCAAAAGCCAACGTGGTGGGGCAGACGAGTGCCCCATGGCACGGGACACGGCCAGTGGTTTAAACGAAACACGAGCATTGCTTTCGGACGCGTTTACACGGACGTACAAATTACAGAATGTACAATCATCGGGTTCAAACGCGCAGCAACAGTCCTCTTCTTCTGCGCATTTCCGTAAATCATCCGTCATCCATTCGCTCATTCATCCGATTGCTTAGAAACGTCAGGAACGATCCTTAACTGGACGCACACTCCGCCTCCCTCTTTCTCCACGGAAAGCCTTGGCGCAACTCCGCGGGGGGTGCCGCGGGTATTTAAAATGCCAGTGTCAGCAGTCTCACTGTACAAGCAGCAAACGAATGCAATAAAATACGGGGATTTATTTCACAAAGATTACAAACGCGAGCGAGCACGCCCACGACTCTCCACTGCGGCTCAACAGGAGGGCGAGTGTCTCAGGGTGGGTGAGAAGGGAAACTTTTTATTTTATTTTCCGTGTTTTCTTCTAAACACAAACTGGCCAAACAGTCTACAAAGGGTCAAAGCTGCAATCCGTGTATGTACGCACAAGTTCAAATATACACGGTACACACGATCGCCGATGCACACGCACACAGCCACGTGCATCCACACACCGGTATACACAAATACAACACGTACATTTGCTCGCACACACACACCCGCACAGAGACAAAGATGCCCCTTGTAGCCTTAACAGACTGTTAGGGCAAGTGCTGTTAGCGAGCACCTATGAAGGCCGGCATGGCACACGAGGGGGTGGGTGGCCAGCATCACGCCCGGCCGCCTTTGTCTCCCCAGTGACGATGTTTACACACCGCACCAGGTACTCATTTGAGGCTGAGTCGACCTATGGGAGGCCCAGGACCGGTTCAGATAATAGTCACTGGTGCTGGCCGTGAGCGGGAATCGAACCCGCGTCGCCAGGTTCTTAGTGCAGCGCGCTAACCACTACACTACCGCTCCCCACACACTACCATACACACACACACACAAGCACATGCACACGAGCAGGCACGCAACCACGCGCACACACGCGCAAGTGAGCCCCCGCATGCACACGCTGGAGTGCAGGCACACGGGCAAACCGACTGTGCACCCAGCACGTGTTCTAGTGTTATTGAAAACCAGGAAACCCCGACTGAACACGGGGAGAAAGGGGCAAACCAAAACGGTTACAAATAAATTAAATAAATCAAATACCTACGACCTAGTAACTGAACAATTTACAAAACATTACATTGCAAATAAAAAGATAAAAAAGAAAATCTACAAAGGATGGCGAAATATTATACCGCGTTTGGATGGAAGCTCAAGGAACCCAGGTGCCAGATTTGCAAGCAGGGAACGACAAATCAGTGGGACACAAAACACTGCCGGCACTCGCCACACACACACAGCACTTACGCAGAGTACAAATACACAGGCAAACCACCAGTCACACGTGCGTACTGCTTCCACACACAACCGACGCATCGCTTGTACACAATGCACCGCTCACAAACGAAGCACACGACACCCACACGCTCTGCACCGCTCACGCACAGTCCGAGTGCCCACCACCCACCATGCTCAGGAGGGAGGGGGGGGGGGCGGGGGGGTGTTTGTGTGCACGGCACCCGGGGCCTCCTCGAGGCAGGTAGAGAAGGGATCATCACGCCGCTCACCGCCGTCCCCATACAGTATATCATCGTCGTCATCACCACCCTCGCCATTATCGTCATCAACCTCCACCGCAATCATCGCCATCGCCTCGTCACCGTCACCGTCACCGTCACAACGTGCCGCCCCCCTCCAGGTGACCTCTCTCCGGGCGACGTCACCGCCACGGGCGGCGGCTTCCGGCCGTGCCCACGGCCGCCACTCTCTCCCGGCGTCCCCCCTCCACGTCTCAGAACAGCATGCTCTGCCGCCTGCTCTTGCCGTTGGCTGCGAAGGGACAGAAAGGCGAGAGGAGGCGCGTTCACGGCGGTGGGGATACGAGGGCTCCGCGTGTCCCCGTGACCCCGTGTGCGCCCTTGGTAGCCGAGCGACGCTAGGCAGCACGCGCTGCGTCTCGGCAGACTGCAGGACACGTGGGGTCGAAGGTGAAAGAGAGGTACAGGTGCATCCCTGCAAGTTCTCACTACTGCTGGCAGAGGGGCCTCCCGCTAGAGGGAGCTCTAAAGAGAGTTACTCTAGGGGGGATATTTGGCCTACTCTTCCATGCAGGTCCCAAGTCGTGGAAGGAGGCGGGGGTACCCACACTTTAGCGCAGCAACCGGAGCCTGCCGCGACTCACTGATGAACCCATGCATGCCGCTGGGTGACAGAGACGGGGAGGTTTAATAAACCTTCCCCGTCGTGTCGACTGCCGTGCCAGGAGATTGTGCCGGCGACCTCAGGTCTGCAAGTCCGGTGTGCTCACCATTACACCGCGGTATGGTGAAATAAATTACCTCCAAGCCTGTGAGCTTAAATCATTTGTGTGTTTGGAATTTTAATTCAAGTGCTTTTGTTATCTTTTAAATACCGTCAGGAAAAAAATATCTGAATATTAGCCACGATAGTCGCAATATGACATTATCATGCGAAAAATGGACGATAACAATATGGTGGATCTTACATCGTACGATATATTTTATTGCAGGAACCATGGTAACCAATAATCCGAATCCATAATGCCACTATTAAAGGTGGTCTTAATCCTAACAATAGTCCGCTACCCATAACCCCTACACCTAACCACAGGTCTTTACCCTAATCTAAACCCTAATCCCGAAGCCCACCCCCTACGCAACTGACCGTAACGTTATCCCCGCAGCTCGTAACGTTGTGACGCGACCACATCGGCACAAACACACCTTCCCTCGACTCGCACGACTCTGACGGCTAAGCTTGGAATGGAATGGCGATAGGCGGAGGGTGGGTGTGAAACGACAAGGAGACAGAGAGACAGAGAGACAGAGAGGGTCACGGGGAGTAAGATGGGTGTGGGGGGTAAGGGGGGGAAGACGGGGAAGGGGGGGGAAGGGGGGTGTGTGGGGGGCGAGGGAAGGGTTGCGTACCCGTTTGGGCCCCGCGTTGTGGGGGGGGGGGAGCCCTCCCCGTCAGTTTGCCAGGTGCTTGTGAGCGTGGCACTGAGCCGCGGAGAGAGGCCTCATCTCAAGAGAGGCAGAGAAAGCTTACGGAGGAGATGAGCACAGGAGACACACGGCACAGCGGCAGCGGCAGAGAGCACGCAGACGAGCACGGGCAGACAACACAAGGCACAGGCCCGAGTGAGCGCGACAGCCGCACGCACGCCTGCATGAAAGGGAGGTCGCGAAAGGTTCGTGACCCACCACACAGAATGAGCGGCACTGCAACCAAGGATGCACGTTCCCCGTTCGGTTCAAGGAAGTCTATTTCCAAGGGTCACAACACTTTACGGCAGCAGAAAAACTGCTGTTGTTTTACAGGCATTGGAATGATACTGATGAGCGTGTCCAGGGGAAAGGTCTGAGAACACCCTGCGTGACGTACGGGACACAAAATTTCATGAACTGTACAATTCTGCCCTCCCTCCCGTGCCGTCCGCGTGCCTCGCGGAGAAGAGAGCGTCACTCGCGGAAACCGGCGAGTGAAGGGTGAACGTGGCGGAGTGCGCTGTGAGCGAGCGGCACGGGTAACGAGACGAAACCCTCTTCTGGGCAGGGGCGAGAGACGAGGGGGGGGGGGGGCATTGCTGGCCCAGCGCACCGCACCTCAGGGGGTCCCCCCACGCAGCTTCATCAAGCGTTGCTGCCGGTATTAAACCGTGGACTGCGGTTGATGTCACTGGTCAAGGTGTCTTCCTGCTCAATCAGCACGTGGCACTGCTCATAGCTGCTGATGGACTTCAACTAGTGGTGGGAACTCCGCATTCTTCATGGTCGGGATCAGTTCTCAACAGAAAACGGCCACCACTGACTTCTCACAAAGTGTTTCATATTTTATCGACCCTGGTGCAATGGTGATCGTCAAACTCCGACCAGGATGTGAACTCGTAACCTTCCAATTGTGAGTCAAGCGCTCCCTGTGGCTCCCTGTGGCTTGATCAAGAACATCGGATTTACCGAGGACTGATATTCAATAAGTATATCCGTTGTCCTGGTTGAACAATGTTTCTCTCCAAAGAATATGGAAATTTTGAACCGATGGCATGCATTACCCACGCGTAATTCACAAGTAAAGAACAAACACTGGCAGGCATGGGACGGTAGAATGGACGGAGAAATGCTGCGACATGTGGCAGTACAGAAAGGGCCACGCCCCGTCCCCCGTGCGATTACCTGCTTCGTGGTACGGGGTCGTCCTGTGACCGAGATCTCGTTGCAGCTGCACTTCTTTGAGTGCGAATATCGACACAACTGGGGGAACAAGATCGACACAAAACAGCGAAGATGAGCGCAGGGGAGATGTCTCGCAGCGGTTCGTGCCCAGTTCCACAGACTGAACCCGGCACCTCGGCAAAAGGGCACCTTGAAAGAGATGCACGTCCAGACCCAGGGATTGAACCAGAACCTCACCGGTCCCAGCTCAGTCTCTGAGCTTGCGCTCAGCATCTCAGTGATGCAAACTCAACGTCCGTGCCGGAGCAAGGGCGGCGTCGCCCGAATTTGTTGTAAACGAAGCGAGTGGTGGCGGCCAGTAGCTTCAATTCGTGGTGGGGCAGTGCTGGCGCCGTAGCAGTGGGAAGGGGGTTAGTGAGGATGGCACTTTGCCCCAGGTGCCAACACAAAAATAGCTACGGCTCTTGTCTCTGGACACAGCCATTATGAATCCCCAGAGAAACACACACACACTCAGTCCCATTGGTTGAACATAAGACTCTAGCTTTGAGAACTCTGCATCGCTGACAGCCATTGTGAACCCACTGGGAGAGAGGGCAGAGTCCGGATACTTGAACATAAGATATCAGCTGCCAGCTCAGCATCTCAGACTCAACGATTATGAACTCCATGAACCTGCTGCCCCACCCCCGATCTCGTCACGCGTCACATCTCCGCGTCGCAAGGGAGGCAGCCGCGTGGAGACGTCGCCGGCACGTGGAAGTCTCGCCGCACGTCTCGCTCGCTCCGTACCGTCGGGCAGCTTGTGCAGCCTCTCCCCGAGGCTCTTGAAGTACGGGTGCCGCATGCCCTCCTCGGCGGACACCCTCCGCCTCGCCTCGTACTGGTGGGCACAGGACGGGGCGGACACAACGCACTCATGGAGGCAGAGTCACGCGGCGGTGGCACAGAGCACGCAGTCTAACGCTGCACACTACAATGTCAGGAGGTCATCATGGGCCAACGCCGATTGTGCTGCCACACATCACCATCTTGCAGTTGTTCCAGTCGACACCGGACCACCACAGTCTCGCTTTAGCTCTTTCTATTGTTACGTAGTCGACACGTCCGTCAACAATCTCTCTCTTACAGACCCATCACCACCACCGTCTGGCCTGGGGCCTTCCCATCCATCACCGACATCTGGGTGCCACTTCAATGCCCATGTCGGCGACCCGCCCTCCTCCATCCTGAACAGGTGACCCACCAATCACAACCTCCTCTTCCTGAATACATCCACAACACTTTCTTGGAGAAATGCGGCTACTGGTGGCTTCCCGGCATTTTATTAATCCGGCACACAACGGTGAACCTCACCAAGCACCACAGAGGGATGGCTCGTGGTGATAACCCTGGCTGGGATTTGAACTCAGGGACTCAAACCCAGGAAACCTCTCTCTGACCCTCGGGTGAAAATCGTACGTGTGTTTCAACTAAAAATAAGTAAACAGAGCCCTCGTAAACAAAGTCAATGGAAAACGAGCGCACGTTATGGAACAATGGAAACAATACGAGACTGAACAATGTGGCACTCGTACAAACAAACAATATGGCACTCGTAATGGAAGCCTCTCACACAATAGGCAAATATAAATTCTACCCGAAATCAAATAATACCATCAATCGTACACACCGAAGTGGTGGTCACAGCTCCCCGCAATCACTCTCACCACGACAGGGCACTCACTGTTCTTTATATTTATACCAATAATTCCATGGAACTCTTTTTTAAACTTTTATTCCAGTGACTGCATGCGTCACTCCACCCCTGGTTTCCGATTCCGCCCAGTCTCCGTATACGACAGAGATCCAGCAGCGAGTTAGTAATGGGAATGCAACACGAGGGTCAATGTGGAGAAAACCCACACCAGTTGACCCGCTGGATGACCTTTATTAATCTGGATTGATAGGTTCGCAAAACTACTTGCTGTACTGCCATCTCTTGGCTTCCTTCGAAGCTCGGAGGGTCTAGGAATGTAACAAACCTATCACAAGCCACCCAACCCGTGCCTCCAAAGCATTTTATGACAGCCGTGCACCAACATGCTGTTTTTAAAAGGTACCGCTTTCAATTCCACCTTTAACTAGTTGAATCTTCAATACATATCAGGTGTTTGTGGATGGCAATCTTTTGGCCAGGTTCTCTAACTGACCAGGGCGTGTGCGTTTACAAAGGCTCACCTGCAAAAGCTTCGAGAGCAGATCCAGGCCATCCGCATCAAGCCTGCAACACACGTCGACAGAGGCGATCACGTGAAGTAGCCATCAAAGCCATGAGTGTTTCTTCGCTCAAACTAGCGATGGGGTAGGGATCCCTCTCAACAGGCAGCCCTGAACCAAAAGTGTAAATGTCACATCCCCATTGCAGCAACAGTGGCGATGAGATGTTGCTGATAGAGCCGCCCCCACTTCACACAGGGGCGCTTTACACGTGATCACTTCTCAAACATTCCAATGATGCCCCCAGTGGCAGCTGTCCCTGTAATGGCACAAGGAGACTCAGCACCTGACTTGAAAACAGGGGGATTCGTCTGCCGGTGGGGGACAATGATTGCTATTATGTGTAATCCCAACTTGGTAATTTGCGGGTATTTTTTTATTTAGCAAGCTTAGAACCATGATGCTGGCACACGATGTCCAACATGTTTCAAATCACGTCACGGGATTTTTTACGTCCATGGTGAAGCGGACGGCCCGTATTTTATTGTTACTACGCCGGCAGTAATAACCAGGGTGGCCTGCGGGATTCGAACCACGAACATCTGCAACACGTACCTACCTACCCCTGGGCCCTGTCACCGCCAAAATTATAGGAACCAGTATATTCACAAGATTATCACTGCTGACGTCCCGCAAACTGGTACGAATTTTATGGGCCTCTATAAGAGATGATATAACTGAAGAATAAACGTTTTAATCAGTGCACACATCAGAGAGATAGACAATGAATATGCATCCAAAGATGAAAAGTGACAAATAAGTGTAGAGAGATGCATGCTGGGAATTACGCCGAGTGACAGGAAGAGAAACACGTGGATCACGGAAAGATATGCAAATCAGAGACAACACACCAACTGCTCAGAAAGAGAAGTGGGGGCTTGGGGAGGACAGGTAGCTGGAAGGGACAGCCAATGGACAAGAGCAGTGACAGAATGACAGCCCAAGGCAGGTATGTAGCAGAAGCAGGCAGGGTAGGTTAGGGTGCCCCCCATTTTGCTTCATCCAGATCGAGGGTGAAGGTGCATTGTGGGAGTGCGAGCGTCGCTACTCGTCTCGTCGTCGACAGCCCAGACGCAGCGGCGCTTCGCTCAAGCAACCCGGACACGAGCAGCGACGGTGGGCGGCGTTGTGCCGTGAAGCCCGGGGAGGGGGTAGCGGCAGAGGTCGCAAACGGGTTTTGATTCCTTACCCGTACCCGTACCCGGCCGCACCAGGGTCGCAAACGGGTACCCGTACCCAGCCGTACCCGTACCCTACCCGTACCCGGCCAGGTACGGGTAGGGTACGGGTATCGGGTACCTGATTGCGACCTCTGGGATGAAGCCATGTTGCAGGCGCGGGTGGGTTGATGCTAGGAACTTGAATTGTGAGAAGAGACAAGACGTTGGGAAATGAGTGACAAACGGTTACTCACCAGTGACTCACGGTCTACCCGTACCCGGCCGCACCAGGGTCGCAAACGGGCTACCCGTACCCGGCCGGGTACGGGTAGCCGGGTATCGGGTAGGGTATCGGGTACCCGGTTGCGACCTCTGGGCAGCGGGGGTGCTGGCAAGGGAGCAGGGCCTCACCGCGGGGCGTGGTTGATGAGGGGCTCCGCCTTGCACTTGGGGAATTTGTAGGCCTTGTACTCTTCGTGCGACAGAATCGCCGGCCACGTTTCCTCCGAGGGCGTCCCTAGACGCGCGGACACGCACCGAGCGCACGACGAGCCGCAGTGAACGCCGTGCGAGGGATCTGAGCTCTACCAGACTTTCCGATCGTTCACTAACTTCAATAAGCAAATGCCTGATGCTCGTACTGTTGTCTATATGTTGTTGTTGTTGTTGCTGCTGCTGTAGCCGCTGCCTTTCAGGGTAGTTCCCTGACAGGGCACCTGGAGAGTTCAGGATGGACAATTCTCAAGCTTCGATTAAAAGCTTTCGTGACTGCAGGGATTCATCTTCTTGGTTCTTTCGGTAAAGTCACGTAGAAGGGAAGTAATAAAATAATAAAAATAAAAGAATTATTTTATTTTATTATGTTTTATTTTTATTATTTTATTACTTCCCTTCTACGTGACTTTACCGAAAGAACCAAGAAGATGAATTCTCAAGCTCTGGACCCCCAACACTGTCCTCCATGGGTCACAGCGATTAAAACCCTAAACATAGTGGCCAAGCGTCTCCCTGCTCCAAGCAGCGTGGTGCACTTCTAACCCACAGTGGCAACCCTGAGCTTGCGGAGGAAATTCCTCATTCTTATGCCAAGTGCCAGTTCACTTACATGAGAGCAACCCTTGACCTTCCACAAATAATGCTCAATTTATCTGCCTTGGGATGACCGGCCGAGTCAACACCTGGCTGCGATTGGAAGCCGTGACCTTTCTGACTGGAGGTCAAGTGCCCCAATTAGAGGCGCGCGTAAAACACGTGCGTGTGAAGAGAGGCGTGCGCGTGTGAAGGGCCGCGAGTCCGTCAGGAGCGTTGACCGAATGTCATTCTTAAGCTCACAACACAAGCACTGAATCCAGCGCAAGAGAAACGGTTATTCTGAGGTACACAAATCATCTGCACGTTTCCTTAAGGGCACAAGGTCGAAACAAGGGAGATAATACAAAGCAGACAGCAATGAACGTACAAGATGTACAAACTAGACTATCAAAATAAGACCGGTAAGACCGACAGTAAACACAAAACATACAATTTGAATTGAATAACAAATAAATAATCTTGACCTAAAGCTTTCGTAACTGCAGGAATTCGTATTCTTGGGGTCTTTTCGGTAAAGTCACGTGGATAGGTTCAAAGAAAATAACAAAACATAACAAAAAATTCCGGCGTTTCTATCGCAACACAAGCGTTCGTCGTCAGGAAGAAAAAAGATTTGTTAAATCTTAGGGTGAGGAAGAGGAGATCGTTTATTCGCGGTGTATAGCATCATCTTCATTGTTGCTATGTGTGTTTTTGTATTGGAGACAAATAACGAAATGTGCAGCGGACACCTAGGAGCTCTCTGCCCATGGATCATGATGATGCTGCTTGTTGATCCAGAAATGCCCAAGTCTCACGACTCTTTTTCAGGAGGGTCCTGCAATATTTTTGCAGTTGGGGGACATTTTTTGCGAGGTGCATTCCGACCAAGCAGGTAGGCTTTCAAATTTGACAAAATGTGGACCGTGGCACCAGCACACAACGGCCTGCTCTAGCGAATGACGTCACGGGGATCTTTAACGTCCACTCTGAAAAGCAGACGGCGCGCGGTACTGCTGTGGTTCATAAACCGGGATTTGAACCGTGAACCGCTGCCACAAGCGGCAGGGGCGTGCGCTACCGCCGGGCCGCGTCACCGCCAAAACCTCGGGAGCCGTGACACAGAGAGAGCGGCGCCGCACACACGCGCAACGTACCCAGCATCCTGAAGATGAGAAGCAGCTCGTCCTCGACCGTAGACCCCGGGAACAGGGGCCTCCCCGCAGCCATTTCAAAAAATATACACCCAACTCCCCTGCCACAGACGCACGCACACACACACGCAGGTATTAATGAACCATCTCCTGAAACCACGGCTACGCCTGAGCCTCGGCGTCATCGTTGAACGGTACTAACACAGACTGTGTCTCCGTCTGGCTCTGTGAGCCTCAAGCATTAACAGTGGGGATGCGACGTGTCGATTCGTCGACGAATAGAAGTGTTTGAGCTTCGTGACAAATGCGTCGGAGTCACGCAGCCACTAGAGGGCGCTGCATTCGCCAGCCACATGGTCAAATCAAATGTGGTTCTTGCAGAGAATTGAGCCGGTACCAAAAATTGCCCAATCTCTGTGGTCTTCTACATTTGAAGACGAGTCAGACAATTCATGAGTGCTAATACATATGGGAGGAGACCGGAGAACCCGGAGACATCCTACGCGTGCGAGGTCACCAATGCTCAATTTCCGTACAGATGGACACAGACGGAGATTAATCCACTTGCTTTACTACCATCTCCTGGCGAGCCGAGATGTGTGCACAAGAACACGATGTCCGTCCTGCAGGCAATGGGATGGGTGTGACCCCCACTGGTCTCAAGAGAAGACCGATTCGTGGCGCCGGACTCGTCTCCCGTCAACGTGACGTGGCCCCACACGTCCCGACTCACCACATGTCGATGGGCGTCGAGTACTCGGTGGAGCCCAGCAGCACGTCGGGAGGCCGGTACCACAGCGTCACCACCTCGTTCGAGTACGTCTTGGTCGGCACAGACTTGGCTCGGGCGAGGCCTGGCAAGGGAATCGCGCGCGGTCACCACCGTCGTGAACCATTCCCTTGCTAACATTCACATAGGAGGGGTCACGGTGCGGTGAGAGGCTGGCGAGGGTGAGCGAGGGTGAGCGAGGGCGAGCGAGGGCGAGCGAGCGCGGGCGAGCGAGGGCGAGCGAGGGCGAGCATGGGCGAGCCTGGGCGAGCGAGGGTGACCCGGGGGTGAGTGAGGGCGAGCGAGGGTGAGCGAGGGCGAGCATGGGCGAGCGTGGGCGAGCGTGGGCGAGCGTGGGTGAGCCGTGGGCGAGCGAGGGCGAGCGTGGGCGAGCGTGGGCGAGCGAGGGCGAGCATGGGCGAGCGTGGGCAAACGAGGGTGACCCGGGGGTGAGTGAGGGCGAGCGAGGGTGAGCGAGGGCGAGCCGGGAGTGTACCGAAGTCGGCCAGCTTGAGCTCGCCCTTGTCGTTGATGAGCAGGTTCTGGGGCTTGAGGTCCCGGTGTAGCACCCTCCGCTTGTGACAGTACGCCAGGCCCCGCAGCAGCTGGTACAGGAACAGCTGCACGCGAGCACCGCACAGACAGCCGCCAAGCGGCGGCCGCGGACCATTAGCGGCGCCGACACTCCAGCGGCGCCGGCACTCCAGCGGCGCCGACACTCCAGCGGCGCCGCCACTTGAGCGCGCCGGGCCGTCTCGAGAACGCACTGCGGTACTCCGTGCCACCTCGCCGTGGAACATCCGTAGGTGCCGTGGGCGGCAGGGCCGTGCAGAGGTCACGCTCGCGCTTCACTGCAAGAAAGCTCCTGGGTTTAATTCCTGGCCCTGGCGCCCTTCTGTGTGGAAGTTTGTCCGTTCTCTCAACTTGTTCTGCATGGGTTTCCTCCCATGGATGAATGAAACATGACAGTGTAACTGCTATTGCTCAAAACATCCGAATGCTGAAAAATTACCTGTAAATTACTCAGTTGGTGAGAAGAGGTTTCCCCCCTTTATTCTGACAACAAAACAGCTGTGTTAAGATGTTAAAACACCAAACTGAAACATTTTATAAGGAATCATGATGTCTGCATTAGCCACAAATACTTGTGGTCAGAATGCAATCCAAAAACACACACTGATAATATTTGCATTGTCCTTGAATCTGATTGGTCCACACCAGAGACAGCTGTACACCTTTTGGCGTCCTCTGGTCTAACACCGTTTGAGACGAGGCTCGAAAAAACGCTGCCTCTGGTGTGGACCAATCAGATTCAAAGACAATTCAAATATCATCAGAGTATGTTTTTTGTTTGCATTCTGACCACAAGCGTTGTGGTTAATGCAGCCATGATTCCTTGTGAAAGGTTTCAGTTTGGTGTTTTAACATCTTAACACAGCTGTTTTGTTGCCAGAAATAAGGGGAAAACCTATTCTCATATTTTGGTCCTGGCAAAGGAGATCCCCCCCATGATGTAGATGCTCATTTGGTATTGCACACAGCAGCAACATCGCCCCCTACTGCGAAAACTTGGCAAGATGTTCCTAAAAAACTCAAGAGACCCAGCGAGTTCTCCTGGGTAAACGAGCATCGCAAGAACAAGAACAATTAACTCGATATCACTTAAACAATACATGCGCACATCACATGCTTTTCCCATGGTATCCCTTGTAGGCACCTCTGCCTTATGCACTGTTAACAATTATTATTTTGGGACATTCTTTTTTTATTCTAGATTTGAAGCTTTCGTGACTGCAAGGATTCATACTCCTTGTTTTTTTCGGTAAAGTCACGTAGGTAAAAAAAAAAATTTCATTAATTTTATTTTATTTTTTACCGACGTGACTTTACCGAAAAAACCAACGAGTTTCATTTTTTAAGTCAGATACAACTGGCACAGGGTAGACTGGGCTCCGAGTCGAGCCATCCAGGCAAGAGTGGAGGACACGAAAATAGCCACTCAGCCCCAGCACCGCCGAGATTAGCGGTTAAAATTAGGGCGTGACTCAAGTGAAACAAAGAGCCTCCCTGCTAAAGGGAGCAGTACGCCACGCTCCTGAGCCGGTGGTGCTTCAGAGCCGGTGGTAAACATTCCACATGCCTATGGTGGGCACCGGTATATGGGCCAGACAATCCATAAGGATTTGTCACAAACCGGTGCTCATTTTATCGATCGCCGAGGGATGATGGGCCGAGCCGACCCATGCGGCCATCCAATTGCAACTCGAGCAATCTGACCTTGGTGCCATCCAACTGACCGGACGACTCCAAAAACGTGTTGCAAATCGAAAGCAAAGGTCGTACGAAAAAGGAAAGTTCCGTGTGGTGAGATAAGACTACGGGGCGAGCTCGGCGGAGGGCAGGCCCACGAGAGCCCGGAACTCACCTTGACGTTGTGCATGTGCATGATGTTCCCACAGTCGTCCATGTATTGCTTCAGGTCCTTTTCCTGTCGAACAAAAAAATCGGGGGCACGCGGACACGCCACAATCCATCACCTGCGGGTGACAGGGCGACGCCAAATCGCGACGGACACCGGTAGCACGACCGCAGCGCAACTGCTGGAAGCGAAGAATACATAACGAATCATGCCGATGCGGAGGGGGGCACAGCACGCACCAGGTACTCAAAGACGAGCGTGAGGGACTTGTCCGTGTGGATGATGTCGTGCAGCGTGACGATGTTCGCGTGCTTTAGGTCCTTCAGCAGGGACACTGCGGGCGGGGAAAACATCGTCACAGTCAAGAGATCGCCATGGGCAACGATGCCGATGCTGCCATCGCCTGCTTCGCTCGTCCACCCAACACATTCCTAGCTACACAACCATCTCCCTAGTCGGCTAAGGGTCTCAGAGGCCCCATCCTTGCATGATCCACCCCTTTGCACCACACAAGCATAAGCAGTGTTGGTGAGGGTGAGGAGCTGCCCCCTGGCACTGGGTGTTGGTGAGGGTGGGGAGCTGCCCCTGGCTCTGAGTGTTGGTGAGGGTGAGGAGCTGCCCCCTGGCACTGGGTGTTGGTGAGGGTGGGGAGCTGCCCCTGGCTCTGAGTGTTGGTGAGGGTGAGGAGCTGCCCCCTGGCACTGGGTGTTGGTGAGGGTGAGGAGCTGCCCCTGGCTCTGAGTGTTGGTGAGGGTGAGGAGCTGCCCCCTGGCACTGGGTGTTGGTGAGGGTGGGGAGCTGCCCCTGGCTCTGGGTGTTGGTGAGGGTGAGGAGCTGCCCCTGGCTCTGGGTGTTGGTGAGGGTGGGGAGCTGCCCCTGGTTCTGGGTGTTGGTGAGGGTGGGGAGCTGCCCCTGGCTCTGGGTGTTGGTGAGGGTGAGGAGCTGCCCATGGCTCTGGGTGTTGGTGAGGGTGGGCAGCTGCCCCTGGCTCTGGGTGTTGGTGAGGGTGGGGAGCTGCCCCTGGCTCTGGGTGTTGGTGAGGGTGAGGAGCTGCCCATGGCTCTGGGTGTTGGTGAGGGTGAGGAGCTGCCCCTGGCTCTGGGTGTTGGTGAGGGTGAGGAGCTGCCCCTGGCTCTGGGTGTTGGTGAGGGTGAGGAACTGCCCCTGGCTCTGGGTGTTGGTGAGGGTGAGGAGCTGCCCATGGCTCTGGGTGTTGGCGAGGGTGAGGCTGCCCCCTGGCTCTGAGTGTTGGTGAGGGTGAGGAGCTGCCCCTGGCTCTGAGTGTTGGTGAGGGTGAGGAGCTGCCCCCTGGCTCTGGGTGTTGGTGAGGGTGAGGAGCTGCCCCCTGGCTCTGGGTGTTGGTGAGGGTGGGGAGCTGCCCCTGGCTCTAGGTGTTGGTGAGGGTGAGGAACTGCCCCCTGGCTCTGGGTGTTGGTGAGGGTGGGGAGCTGCCCCCTGGCTCTGGGTGTTGGCGAGGGTGAGGAGCTGCCCCTGGCTCTGAGTGTTGGTGAGGGTGGGGAGCTGCCCCCTGGCTCTGGGTGTTGGTGAGGGTGAGAAGCTGCCCCCTGGCTCTGAGTGTTGGTGAGGGTGAGGAGCTGCCCCCTGGCTCTGAGTGTTGGTGAGGGTGGGGAGCTGCCCCCTGGCTCTGGGTGTTGGTGAGGGTGGGGAGCTGCCCCCTGGCTCTGAGTGTTGGTGAGGGTGAGGAGCTGCCCATGGCTCTGGGTGTTGGTGAGGGTGAGGAGCTGCCCATGGCTCTGGGTGATGGTGAGGAGCTGCCCATGGTTCTGGGTGTTGGTGAGGGTGAGGAGCTGCCCATGGCTCTGGGTGATGGTGAGGGTGAGGAGCTGCCCCCTGGCTCTGGGTGTTGGTGAGGGTCAGGAGCTGCCCATGGCTCTGGGTGATGGTGAGGGTAAGGAGCTGCCCTTGGCTCTGGGTGTTGGTGAGGAGCTGCCCCCTGGCTCTGGGTGTTGGTGAGGGTGAGGAGCTGCCCATGGCTCTGGGTGTTGGTGAGGGTGAGGAGCTGCCCCCTGGCTCTGGGTGTTGGTGAGGGTGAGGAGCTGCCCCTGGCTCTCGGTGTTGGTGAGGGTGGGGAGCTGCCCCCTGGCTCTGGGTGTTGGTGAGGGTGAGGAGCTGCCCATGGCTCTGGGTGTTGGTGAGGGTGAGGAGCTGCCCCCTGGCTCTGGGTGTTGGTGAGGGTGAGGAGCTGCCCATGTCTCTGGGTGTTGGTGAGGGTGGGGAGCTGCCCCCTGGCTCTGGGTGTTGGTGAGGGTGAGGAGCTGCCCCTGGCTCTGGGTGTTGGTGAGGGTGGGGAGCTGCCCCCTGGCTCTGGCTCTGGGTGTTGGTGAGGGTGCCACTGGCTCTGGGTGTTGGTGAGGGTGCCCCTGGCTCTGGGTGTTGGTGCGGGTGCCCCTGGCTCTGGCTCTGGGTGTTGGTGAGGGTGCCCCTGGCTCTGGGTGTTGGTGCGGGTGCCACTGGCTCTGGGTGTTGGTGAGGGTGCCACTGGCTCTGGGTGTTGGTGAGGGTGCCACTGGCTCTGGGTGTTGGTGAGGGTGCCACTGGCTCTGGGTGTTGGTGAGGGTGCCCCTGGCTCTGGGTGTTGGTGCGGGTGCCCCTGGCTGTGGGTGTTAGTGAGGGTGCCCCTGGCTCTGGGTGTTGGTGAGGGTGCCCCTGGCTCTGGGTGCCGTGCCCCGTGGGCGTGCCGTGCGCACCCTCGCGGATTGCGGTGCAGGGCGCGCCCTCCTCGTGCTCCAGGCGGATCTCCTTGAGGGCGACGAGGTTGTCGGTGAGTTTGCTGCGGCCCTTGTAGACCGTGGCGTAGGTGCCCTACACACCGAGGGGCGGGGACGGGGCCCATTCGGCCCACGTGGCACCGTGAGAGTCGTTCTCCACCGCGGGCGACACGACCACACCGTCACAACTCGAGTCTCTCTGCTTAGACATCTCTATTAGCACCAACTCAGTCAAGTGGAGCAAGTTCCACATAGCTATGGCAGAAGTTATTTTGCCCATAGCACAAACACGGGTAAATTCTCACAAATGTGTACTTATTTTATACTCTTTGGTTGTTTCGGTAAAGTCACGTAGCAGCAAAAGAGCTGCTAGTAATGGCGGGTTATATAGGTGAGGGAGGGGGAGCTCTTTTGCCTACTTCAGCAATTGTTTATTGCTGTGGTTGTCCCACCTGATGACGGACGCTTGTGTAGCGTCCGAAATGTCGTGATTTCATTTATTTGTTATTTTCACCTACGTGACTTTACCGAAAGAACCAAAGAGTATGGATCCTTGCAGTCACGAAAACTTCAAATCTAGAATGTACTTATTTTATTAACCCCAGAAGGATAATGGGCTAAGTTGACGCTAGCGAGGAATTTGAAGAGGTGCAATAAAGAGGTGGTGGCACAGTGGTTAGCACGCTGCAGTAAGAACCCAGCATGAGCCAAGTTCAATTCGCGGCAGAGGTTAACATCAGTTGCAAGTGCTATCAGAACCGATCCTCTGCTTGCCATCTTCACCAATCCGAACTGACCAGCGTGGTGAAGTATGGCCAAAACAACCCCCATGAACGACACAGCACGGAGAGTCGATCTATACGACAATCACATGAACTGATTCTAGATTTGAAGCTTTCGTGACTGCAAGGATTCATATTCTTAGGTTTTTTCGGTAAAGTCACGTAGGTAAAAAATTTATAAAAGTAAAATAAAAATAACTAAATAATCACGGCGTTTCGGAGGCAACACAAGCTTCCGTCTTCAGGAGTAACCGTCACAGCACAATTGCTGTATCAAGTAAGACTTACTGTTTTACCTACGTGACTTTACCGAAAAAAAACCTAAGAATACACATGAACTGAGTCAGTCAACTCCAACAGGTAGGCTGAGCAGTGTATAGTGACTGGTATATTCACTCAACATTCTGAATGCGAGTACAACTTTGTAGAAAGACAAGAGCTCAAACATCAAGACTGGCTGCTGCCATACGAATGGCGAATTGTTATACAGCTGGCTGAGGGCTGTTACAGGAGAGACACACACAGCACCGCACACCCATCGGCGGAGCAGGCACGCCGTTTGACTTGTGAGTTGCGCGTAACTGAACAAAGACGTGGATGTCGCAGGGCAACGTGCAAGGAGCTGGCTTGTGAGTGCACGCGCGTGTCCGAGGCAAACCCACCTCCCCCAGCTTGTCAAGCTTCGTGTACGTTTCCAGCTTGCCAAAGCCAATCTCCGACTGCGCAACACAAACACACACACACACAGAGGGATCACGAACGATCGATGGGACCGGCACGGCCAGCGACACGGACAGAGAGCCAAGTCTCTCCAACCCTGCGCCACTGTGCAATGTGTTGGGAGGGACATGTGTGTACGTTGTGGGTCTGATTACCGAGTAGTTTGCTAGTAGCATGTGAGTAGTGTTTAATGTGAGAATGGTATGCTTGTGTATGAGTGACCAGTGGTGTGTACGAGTGAGTAGTGGGGTGGATGAGCGAGTGGTGATTCGAGTGAGAGCGCCATTGGCTTCTGGACGCGGCTCTGCCGAGCAGAGTGGGGGGGGCGGCAGGGCACGCACCAGCGAGGCCCTGCGGAGCCGTCTGCTCAGCGGCTTGTCGAAGGGCGGGCTGTTGAGCTGCATCTTCTCCAGGTATCCCTCGGGAAGCCGGATGTCGGCAGGGAGCGATAACCTCTTGTTGAGATCCTGCAAGAAACGGGCAGAGAAACGGCGATCACCACCACTGGCATCCATCCTCCCCTAGCCCGCATGCACGTCCTACGGGACGCGTGCGAGCACGGGAGCCTCCGTGTAAACACACACATGTGTGCGTCGCCAGGGTGCAACTACGCACGATCCATTGGTACGTGTGATATGTATACATGTGTACGTGTGCACTCTTCTGGGGATTTTGGTGTGAGCGTGTGTTCACGCATATACATATGGGCACGTGGGTAGCTGTTGCGTGTGCGTAGATGTATGGGGCTGGTGTGCAATAATGTGTGCATGTCAGTGTGCCTGTTGGGGAGGTGCATTGCTTGTGTGCTGTGTGTCGGTGTGTCGGTGTGTTTACGCGTGTTGGTGTGTGTATGTGCACGAGTGTGGCAAGCGGTAGCACAGTAGTTAGTGTGCTGTGTGTCCGTGTGTTGGTGTGTATACGTGTGTTGGTGTGTTTATGTGCACGAGTGTGGCAAGCGGTAGCACAGTAGTTAGTGTGCTGTGTGTCGGTGTGTTGGTGTGTGTCCGTGTGTTGGTGTGTATATGCACACGAGTGTGGCAAGCGGTAGCACAGTAGTTAGTGTGCTGTGTGTATACGCGTGTTGGTGTGTGTATGTGCACGAGTGTGGCAAGCGGTAGCACAGTAGTTAGTGTGCCAAGAACCCAGTGACCCGAGTTTGAGTTTAGCTCATGGCCAAAATCGGTGACGAATATCTGAACCCCTCCTGGACCTCCCCTAGGTCGACTCAGCCTTAAATGAGTACCTGGTGCGGTGTGTAAACATCAGCACCGGGGAGACAAAGATAGCCGGGCATGGTGCTGGCCATCCAACCCCTCGTGTGCCGTGCTGGCGTTTCATAGATGCTCGCTGACAGCACTTGCCCCAAAGGTCCACACGTATTGGTCTCTACGTGTATGCGAGTGTGTGTGTGTGTGTGTGTCGGTCCGAGAGGGCAGTCCGCGTCAGGACGAGTGTGCACGCCCACTCGTCCACGCGTCGCCCACCTCCTGCGAGATGCGCCGGTGCGGGTGGTTCCGCATGCGCACGCGCACGGGCGACTGCACTTCGTCCGACGAGGTCCCCGACGCCTGATCGCTCTCCCCGTCCGAGCCCATCTTGAGATTCTCGTGCACAACGCCTGCGCCGCCCGGCAGTGGCGGGGAGGAGAGCGCGCGGTGGGTGAGAGTGAGCAATCGTGTAGGGTGGCAAGGGCGTTACACGGGCAAATTAATGTGAACGTACACATGTATTGTGCTATATCACCTAACGGAGGGTTTCCGAGTGCAAAGCTGCCCCCTGTACAGCACAAGGCGACTCAACACCTGGCACGGCGACGAGACATTCTGCCAGTACGGAGTGATTCATGTTTGTTTTTATTGTTTTGCAAATTTGAACTGGGATTGAGATTGTTTATATATATGTGTATGTATATATACACAGTCATGGGGTGGGAGGTGGAGAAACGGGACAACCCAGAGAAAACCCCACGCACAAAAAGGGGAGAACATGTAAACCCAACACAGAAAAGTGCCAGTCGGAAATTAAATCCAGGGCCTTTTTAGTACCGCGAGGCACAAGCGTCACCACTGCACCACCCTGCCCAGGAGTAGAACAGGAACACGCAGGGGAACAGCGATGCCTTGGCAAACAGGAATTACGGATATCCTTTACGCCTTTCAGTAAAGTCACGTAAGATAGGTACAAGTTAATAAAAATAATAAGCATAAAATAAATAAATAGACTGCGACGTTTCGATCACAACACAAGCGATGGTCATCAGGAGGAAAGCGTGGAAAGCTGCTGAATGCCGACTGTTGTAGAGGGTGTAGTCCCAGGGTCATAAACGAAGTGGGCGGGGCTAGTGAGGTTAATGTGAGAGATTAGCATGCTAATTTATTATTATTAATTAATTTGTACCTATCTACGGAACTTTACTGAAAGACCCAAAGAATATGAATTCCTGCAGTCACGAAAGCTTTAATCATAATAAAGTTTTTGGGTTAGATCGCGTTATTTATAAATGTGTCGTAATCCTCCACGACCCGAAACGGCCAATCAGCAAAAAGTGTCACGTTGACAAAAGACAAATAGTTCACTACTTCAGCCCACCGGTGTGTCGAAGAGAGAATACACAACATTTACAATGTTTGAGTAGCACGACGTTTCGCTGGTAATTACACCCGGCATCATCGGGCAATTCGCCAGCATGGTGAGGCCCTCACTTGCTCCCGGTCTTAAATAGAGCAGCAGCAGCAGCAGGGTGACGTCATCGTTTAACCCATTCACGTGCAGTGATTTGAGGTGGAGGGGGGGGATAATAATTATATAATAGATTAGTAATCAGTCAATTGTTATGATTAGTAATGAGTTGTATATTAGTAATGAGTTGTAGATTAGTAATGAGTTGTAGATTAGTAATAGTGTGTATTATTTAATAACTGAACCCAATTACTATAACCACTCAAGTGCAGAAATTAAAGGGGGGGGGGGGTTATTGTTATTATATAATAGATTAGTAATGTGTGTTATTCAATAACTTAACCCAATTACTATACCCAAGCAGGTGCAGAGATCAGAGGGGGGCGGAGGGGGGGAGATGGTTATTGTAATTATACACTACGTTAGTAATCGGTTAATTAGTATGTGTTTCCCCGAGAAGGAATTGTCATATGTATTATTTAATAATACGCTTCCAAGTCAGGAAATGAAGGAGACAAGGGCACACGGACACCTGGGTACATGGAGACACACGTACACACGGCAGGGCGCGGGGGGCGGACTCAAAGACAGGAAGACGCCTCGCACGTGGACACGGGTAAATGGGAACACAGCTGATGGCACACAGACTCAGGAACGTGGAGACATGAAGACAAACACACCGGGGACGTGGGGAAACCTGCACGAAGCGAGGCAGGTGGCGTGACTCGTGAGCATGGGTTAGACGAGCTCTCAGATACCGCACTGGCAGAACACACCAAATAGAACACTGCCGTGGGTAAAAGGGTTCAAAATGTGCCATCGACCCGGGAGGGATGGTGGGTGAACCCCGGCGAGGTTTGCGAGGGCCCCCACGTTTCGACCGGGAGCCGAGTGCTCTGAATAGAGCGCCACCCAGCAGGACACGAGACAACTAAAACCATTGCACAAACACAGCCTTGCACACAGCGTCCCAGCAGCGATCGGCTCTGACGGCACGAATAGAAACCATTTGCTTCTGCGACTTTACCATGACCGACACATGACGACAAAGTCGTTGATCACAAGGGATAAGAGTGCCATGTGAAGACCGCACTGTGCACCTTTAAATCACTCACTGATACGTACAGTTTGATTATTTTCTGCAGGATCTCCGATAAACACATTGTGCTGCCATTTTCGTCTGAACGCAAAGGCGTTGTCCTTGACAACAGTCAAACCTGTGTGACCTCACAACAGCCAATCACAGCGAGGCTATGAACGCATTGGTTTTCTCTGGCCACTACAATCTCCTCCGCACAAGCCAAACGCTCGTAAATGGAAGTGGCCAAACATCCCAAAGTCGGACCTTCCCGAAGCTCCATGAGGCTTCCCTGCATAGAGCGCTTCGTAAGCAGCGGCTGTCTCACGGAGATCGGAACCGCCCCAGGTGAACGAGAGAGACGACGCTGCCCATTGGAGCAGGAAGGCACTGCCCTCAGCGGTGCCAGGCAGCGAGAAGAGACGGCCAAACGGCACCGTACAGTTTGGAGTAAATCTCCTCGTGCGCTCCAAACAGTCAAACAGGTAATATCGAATAATAAGGTTTTTCCTCCTTTTTTCTGGCAACAAAAATGAAACCTTTTTACAAGGCATAATATGTGCATTAACCACAATACTTGGTCACAATGCAAACAAAAAACACTTTGATAATATATGCATTGTCCGTGGAACTAATTGGTCCACACTAGAGACGGCTTTCTTTTGAGCCTCGACCCAATTGGTGCTAGACCAGAGGACGCCAAAAGGCGTACAGCTCAAAGACAATGCACTATCAAAGTAATGAGGGCTCGGGGTAAGCACCTACATCATTAGACCTCCTTTGCCAGCATTTAGACCACAAGTATTGTGGTTAATGCACACATGAGTCCTTGCAAAAAGGTTTCAGTTTTGTTGCCAGAAGAAATGGGAAAAACCCTATTATGATATTTTGGTACTGGCAAAGGAGGTCTAATGAGGTAATAGCGAGTGATTACTCTCTATTAGTTTTGAAAGTTTCTAAAAGTTGGCTAAGCCCCCCGTTGCACGCCTGCCCAGGCACAGAGCAAAGGTGACTCGCAACTAACGGGTTCTGGTGGGGGAGGCAGGGGTGGTACTAGGGGCCTTCCCAAAAGCCCTCTCTGCGCCACGGTTCCTGTGCCCGTGGGGAATTGCTAATGGCTGAGAATACGAAGAGTCCTGCGGGTGCCGACTCGGGGTACAGAAACAAGGAGGCGCTAGGATCCCGTACGGATCCTCGCAGCCCTACATCCCCCACAATCCCCTCCGACCGCAATCCCCTCCCCGGCCCGGGCGGCTGAGGCACCGAGGTGATGCCTGCTGACGCTGTTGCTGCCGTCGCCGTTTCCTCCGACAGCGTCGCCAACCCCGGCGTCACCGCCGTCGCCGCCGCCGCCGCCATCGCCCCTGTGCCGCGGTACGGAGAGGTTGGCCGGCAGCACGGGGCCACCCGTCACGCTGTGAGGCCTCCGTAGGGGCGGCTTGCGCAGGCTGCCCGCGTACTGGTGCAGGAAGGAGTGCATGCTGTGCGAGGCGGGCGGCTTTCCGTTGCGCACCACGGCGTCCGTGCGCGTGCACGTGCCTGTGCGTGCGTGCGCCACGTGGGAGTGCGGTGTCGCAGAGTGTGCGTGCGAGCGTGCGGGGAGGGGGGGGATGCGTTAAGGACCCCGGCGGCCGTGTGTTCGGACCCCGTTTGTGTTTCGGTGAAGGCCGTCGGTTTACGCGCCGTGCGGTCGACATTCGGTGGACGGCCAATCATGCGTGAAGAGTGACGGGGGGGGGGGGGGGGGGGTAAGCGGAGATGCGCACGTGATCCGAATGCCCAGATGGCAGAATGCAGTCGAGCAAAATCGTAAGCGAAAGAATAAACAAATCATAACGTTGGGAGCGAGAGCGATAGCACGGCACGTGCAGCGAGAAGGGTGCACGCAAGCAATGTGGCGGTTGGTGTCGTGCAAAAGAAAGGAGTGGAGATGAAAGTTGCAACAGACGTGTGAACGCTCATCGGGGGCGAGGGGTACAGAAAGTGGTTTGCAAATGCAGACACACACGTGTGCAGATACACACACATATACAAACATGCATACGCATAGACACGTTCACACAAATGCACACGCAACCACACGCACACAGACATGCGCACACATACACGCAAACAAACAGGCACGCACATATACATGCAAAGATGCAAGCACACGTGCGTACATGTGCACACATTCGTACATGTACACACCCAGAACAGGCAAAGACACACACACGCAGACACACACATACACAGACAGACAAACACACACGCACACAGACGCACATGTGCGTACATGTACACACCCAGAACAGGCAAAGACACACACATACACACACAAACACACGCAGACAAACACGCAGACGCACACGTGCATGCAAACACACGAACCAACCGTGCGGTACGCACGTTGTGTGTCCGGACTCGCCGGGGGCGTCCAGAGACAGAAACGTGGCGTCCGTGCGGTCACAAGCAGCGGGCAGCCACGGTGTTGGAGGGCACGAGGGTGGGCACAGGGAGCGGGAGGGGGGAGGGGGGTGGAACAGGGAGGCCCACGAGCCAAACGAGGTGGGAAGGACGGACGAGGAGGAAGAAGAGGAGCAAACAGAAGAGAAACAAAAAGACAAAAAAAGCAACAGCAAAAATTGAAATAAGAATAAATCATAACACAAAAGAGGTTTCTGTGCCGGCGTGCCCGGCTGCTGACAGGCACACACGGGAGCGAGGCGGCGGAGTCGGATTTTAAAGCGAGCATTCTGGGAGTTTATGCAGCATTCCTCAAACAAGTCCACGTGCCTTCCCCTATCCTTAAACAAACTCCTGGACGGCGCTTTTCTTGTTTGGCTGCCTTCAGACCAGTGGTGGATATTCCTCATTCCCATGCAGTCTGTCCCATTAGATAACACTGCCGACATCCCATACAGAGGTATTTGTTTTATTGACCTTGGAGAGATGATCGCCAAATTGACGACTGCATGCGAACAGATCGCATTGCCACTGCACAGATTGGTCATGAGTTCAAATCCCAATCCTTGGTCAACTCAGCTCACCATTCCTCTATGGTCGATAAAACGGGTACCACTTTATTGGAAGTCACCAGTAGTCACATCATGGAGATGCTGTTCTCTGTCAAGGGAATGCGGATTTTCCACCGCAGTCTCTGGGCCGCCCCAATGCTTATTCGAGCAGAGAGACAGTTTCACTTGGTAGGCAACATGGAATAAGATATCGAACTCGCACTACCCCGCCCCGATGTGTGCTCGTCATTACACGTGCCCTGTCGGCAAATCAAGAGCCAGAGGCCAGGCAAGGTAGTTCAGGCATAGTCGGGAGCATGACCCCGCCACCAAAGCGGCCAACATTACGTCGAACCAATGCGGGGAAACACGAGTAACCCGCGAGCCAGGGAGAGCAAGGGGCAGACTGAACGTGCCACTGCTGCATCTCGCAGTGCCCTTGTCTCTGCGCTGCGCTGCGGCACGTGCGTGCTTCGCGCACGGCCCTTCCCGCTTCCACCACAGGGAATTGGTCCAAAGCAGTTATTGCCTTAAAGCTTTCTTGACTGCAGGGTTCATCTTCTTGGTTCTTTCGGTAAAGTCACGTAGAATGGAAATAATGAAATAATAAAAATAAAACATAATAAAATAATTCTCACGACGTTTCGGCCACAACGCAAGCAGCCGTCCTCAGGTGAAGAACAGGTCTGTCGAAAAGACAGAGAAAGACAGACGCTGTCTTTTCGACAGACTTGTTCTTCACCTGAGGACGGCTGCTTGCGTTGTGGCCGAAACGTCGTGAGAATTATTTTATTATGTTGTATTTTTAGTATTTTATTATTTCCCTTCTACGTGACTTTACCGAAAGAACCAAGAAGACAGTTATTGCCTCTTACATTGAGCAATAGCGAGCAAATGTAAGCAATATGAAGTGATTGCTTCCATTGACAAGGCAATTGGAAGACACCGCTTACACCGAGTTGCACGTATCGATGTTGAGCTGATGTCCCGTGGTAAGCAATATCAACGTGTTGAGTATTGCATTGTGAAAATGTCAATACTACGGTAATACCTTTGTTCATTAAATGCCACGTGATGTAGCTATTATGGTGGCGTTGCCTATAATGAACGATACATTGTCAATATTAAGATGTTGGAAATTGTAACATCCATCTTGCAAAATGGATTGGGATATAGGCAAGAGGAAAAAGATCACAATCCCCAAGTCACCAGCAACACTAACGTCCTACGTGAACAACCACATTAACAGCTGCTATTGCCAGTCCTGTCCTTGCTGGTAATGAATACAACACCTGCATGTGATCTTATCCACCACATTTGCCATCAATAGGTTCACTGTAAAGACGAAATCATTGCAATGACTGTGTTCTGCCAGCAGAGGTCAGCAAACCGTTACTGAATCACGATTTGATAAAACAGCACAGCGCAATACATAAACAATTTAAAAATATATTCATATACATACTTTTGTGAACGTCTCCCCATTACGTTTTGTCTATGTGATTGTTTGACCATACTTTACCGCGGCGGCCAGTGATGTTCAGTAAAGAGTGGCGGTAATGGGGGGGGGGGGGGGGGCAGGTCTGGTTCAGATATCGCCGGCCATGGATGTGAGCCGTGGGCATAAATCAAACTCAGGTGCTTGCGTACATAGCACACAATGCACTACCAACCGAGCCACCGCTCCGTATCACTAAACACAAAAAAACTTCAACCCGAAAATGGGCTGATCAGGGCAGCCGAGTGACGCGAGTAGGCGGCAGGGCAGTGGCGCGGTGGTAGTAACACTCCTGCCTCATAGCAAGAACAGCACGGGTTCGATTCCCAACTCGAGTGCCTTGCTGTGTGGAGTTTGTATGTTCTCCCCCTGTTCCGCATGGGTTCTCTCCAAATTGAATCCAGGCCCTTATTGCCGAGGCACAAGTGTAACCACTGCGCCACCCTGCCGTGATAATGTTGGTGGTGCGAGTAGCAGTGGTGATAACGCTGGGTGCAGTGGAGACGGTGGCAGAGTTTGCGTTGCTGATGACGATGCTAGCGGTGCTAAAGTTGCTGGAGATTATAGTGGTGGTGCTCGGCTTGCTCGAGATGACGGTGATGAAGGTCGTGTTGGTGCTGGCATTGCTCGAGATGGTGGTGGTTGTGGTGGTGGAGACAGTGGTGGTGCTGGAGATGGTGGTGAAGGCAGTTTTATCAGTGACGATGTGTTGTTGCTGGAAGTAGTGGTGGTGGTGGTAATGGGGATGTTGGAGATTGCTGCTGCCGCTGGAGACAGCGAAGGACGTGTCGGCGGTGGTGCTGCTGGTGAGAGCGAGCGGTGGCGGTCATGGAAGTGGCGGTGGTGCCGACGCCGGAGGGAGTGGAGGCACAGGCATGGGCTACTGCGGGAAGTAGCGGTGCTAACGGACGTGATGGTGGTGGTGGTGGTGGTAATAGAGCTGCTGCTGGTGGAGCTGTGGGGCCGCACCCGGGGCGCTACCGTTGTCTTTGATGGTGCCGTCCTCCATGGTCATCTGCTCAGCGAGCTCGGAGAGCGCCTCGTCCACAGGGCGGCCTCCACGCAGCGTCAGCGACAGACGCCGCTTGAGCTTCTTCATGCGATCCATCGCTGGGGTCTACACGCACATCGCACGCATCACACGCGGATGATGATACCTATTGGCTCGGTCTCATTTGCAGCATTTTGTTATGTGGGCTAGACGTAGTCACAAACCGCACCTCTCCATATAAAGGCTCAGTCATTTGTTATGTAATCTAGCCGTAGTCTCAAGCCGCAACTTACCATAATAATAAAAGTGGGCCGTTCCTGGCCCTTCCCCCCCCCCCTCAACCATTATATATACGGAGTGGTATATCTTGAATTCTCTCATTTACTTGATACAGCTGTCGTGCTGTGACGGTTCCACCTGAAGACGGAAGCTTGTGTTGCCTCCGAAACGTCGTGATTTTTATTTTAATTTCATTTATTTTACTTTAATTAATTTTAATTTTTACCTACGTGACTTTACCGAAAAAACCTAAGAATATGAATCCTTGCAGTCACGAAAGCTTCAAATCTAGAATTATTGCTTAGCCTTGTACAAACACACACTCATCTACATACCACGGACATGAAGAGCCTCTGCGTAAGTGTTATACGAACACACACCAATATATCACGTGATAATGATGAAGGCCTCCACTTAGCTCCATGGACTGTAAGTGCAATTGTTTTTGTCGAGCACCTATTCAGGCCTGCACGGCACACTCGAGGTTGTGTGGCCAGAACCACACTCAGCCACCTGTCTCCAAGGTACTAATGTCGACAGAGTGGACTTATGGGAAGCCCAGGACACGTTAGGCGATCACTGGAACATAATAATGTGAATGGATGAGAATTGAACCCAGGTCAGTGCCGTTGCAGGGCAGGGAATCCCCGTTCCAAACAGCATTATCATAATCTTGATTTGAAGCTTTCGTGACTGCAGTAATCCATACTCTTTGGTTCTTTCGGTAAAGTCACGAAGGTAGAAAAATAAAACAAAATCAAAATAATATATTACGACGTTTCGATACCAACACAAGCGGTCGTCCTCGGGCGGAAAAAATAATTGGCAGTTTCACAGCGGGATTATTTTTATTTTTATACCTACGTAGCATGATCATAAGCCATGATAATTTCACTGCTGGATGAAGGCCTCCCTAAGCCGTCACCTGTCATGGTCAACAATCTGTCGAGCACCGACAAACGAGCCGATTTCAGCACTCCATCTCTACAAGGGATGGGCCTATCCAGCGAGTTCCATCCTTTGGCCGTCATTCCCTCATTATTCTTGACCATTATCCCTTGCAACGTCCCCTTCCCAGGCACACTTACATGTATTAACCGGTGCACGCGTGTTCCTCTTTCTTATCTCCCAATGTCATTCCGAGCGTGCATCTCGCATGCGCCTCAGTGGCGTTTCAGCTTTTGTCTATGTCTGTGTTTCTGATCCATACCATTCCAGGAAATACACGCCGATTAAACAATATTAAAATACATACGCACATACATGAACACATACACCTACTTGGGCCTGTCTACTCATTAACCAAAGCGCCATCGACTGCCCAGCAAGCAAAACAACTAGGCAAGCTAGTCGAGTTAATGAGCCAACCAAGCCAGCTGCCCCAATTGTTCACAGCACTATAAAACACATTATTCCTTTTCCATCCCAGTTCTCATTCAAAGGAGACATTACGCAACCGCCCATTCAAAAGCACCGCGCACAATTGGCGGAGTGAGCTAAGCCAAATAAATATATAAAGTGACAAATAGACAGGCACACATATACATATGTGAGCACATGGCAAGATAAATAGGGCGAGTGGAGCGGAGTGCATTGTGCGTGCTTGGCGGAGCGCGTGCAGGCCGTGTCCGGGCTTGTCGGCCTGCGATGATTCGCCGTGTGAGATGGAGCCATGCGCACCGCTGCGTGTGTGTTTATAGCCACGAGGCGGTGCACGCTCGTGAAAGCTCACGAGAGAAGAGAGCCATTAGCCGTGAAGCGGCACACGCGGCTACACTTGATCAGCCGCCCTCCCGCCAACAACACTCGCTCGCCACGATTCACAACCACACACCGACTCGCTACAATACGTAGTCATCCACCCACGCACTACAACACAGTCAAACACCACTCACTAGAAGTCATCCACTCACTCACTACAACACACAGTCAAACACCACTCACTATAAGTCATCCACTCACTCACTACAACACACAGTCAAACACCACTCACTATAAGTCATCCACCCACGCACTACAACACACAGTCAAACACCACTCACTAGAAGTCATCCACTCACTCACTACAACAACACAGTCAAACACCACTCACTATAAGTCATCCACTCACTCACTACAACACACAGTAAAACACCACTCACTATAAGTCATCCACCCACGCACTACAACACAGTCAAACACCACTCACGATAAGTCATCCACCCACGCACTACAACACACAGTCAAACACCACTCACGATAAGTCATCCACTCACTCACTACAACAACACAACGACTTACTACAATAAACAGCCACCCACTCCAACACACGGTCACACACTCACTACACACACACTGATAATTATCAAAGACAAGGCTAATGAAGCAAGTGCTGTTAGCAAGGACCTAATAAGGCATGCACGAACGGTGGTAGTGTGGCCAGCACCACGCCCTGCCACCTTTGTTTTCCCAGTGCTGATGTTTACATGCTGCACCAGGTAATAATTCAAGGCAGAGTAGACCCAGGGGAAGCCCAGGACCAGTTTAGATATCGCTCACGAGGTTCGGAGTTTGCCAGGACTAATAACAAACTGAAAAAGTGTGAAACCCTGTCAAAATAAACTATTCATGATTTATAAGCGTATGCTGTAGTTGTGGAATACAATTCATGACGATTATATAAAAAATATATCAATGATGAGTAATGTAACATGTTTAATTCAGTGTGAACAAATTCCCTAACTCAATGCCTTGTTAGACAACAGAATGCAATCGCTCCGCTTGAATGTGAAGCTCAGATGATGGTGCCATCGTCTTTGGCACTGGTGTGTG